GACTGTGGAGACAGGGTCTCTATCAGGTCCGCTTCTGATAGAAGGACATACTCCTGACTGACAGGTTCAGTACAGTAGAGGGCATGTATTGATCTGCCCACCAGTGATTCACTGGAGTGAGGCGGAATGATGGGGGATAATAGTAGTAACTTGGTTACGATACTATTATACCGGTCATGACAATTTGACGGAATGTGACGTCATCTATCTGCTTGTTCAGATTAGTATGAATCATGTTCTGGGATCTGCCCACTAATCTCTGGGTTTCCATTGATTGAGGCGGCCTACCGTGTACACAATGTAGAGTGACACTTTGTGTCATTCCATTAGTGGCCGGTATTGTTGTAACAGGATATTGAGGTATCATCTATCTGCTAGTACAGATTAGTATGGCCCGTATTCTGGTGATCTGCCCACTAGTCATTGGTGTTGCCATTGGACTAGGTGGGGCGGGTTTTTAACCGATGACGCAGTATATTGTGACACTTGTAGGGTGACAGTGGTTACAGTACTGCGGGAATTGGTTGCAGCCATTGCTAGGCCTGACCTTTTCATTTTGATGGGAAGTGTTGGGCTCGGCAGGGAGTACATTTTGGAGCGCTACGCTCCGCCTTAAACCAATAGGAGCAGAGCTCCCCTATGGGGCGGTGCTCCACGATATAGAACGATAGTTACCGGAGTGTAACTCCAGTTCTATGAGTGGAGCGGTGCCCCATAGGACTTAAGGCCCTGCCGACCCTCTCTAGTCTCGCTGAAGATAAATATCTCGGGAGGCTGATTGAGGGGAGGCATCCCCTCTTATAGGGACACCTGTACTCCTATTGGCTGCAGGTGTGTGCATAATTTTGTCTCAGGCTGATGCTGCCTTAGGGCAGTGGGTAAACCAATAGGAGCAGAGCTCCCCTATGGGGCTCCGCTCCACTCATAGAACTGGAGTTACACTCCGGTAACTAATCGTTCAGTACAGTAGAAGGCATGTATTGATTTGCCCACCAGTGAATAACTGGGTTGAGGCGGAATGATGAGGGATAATAGTAGTAACCTTGGTTACGGTACTATTAGACCGGTCCTGACAATTTTGACGGAATGTGACGTCATCTATCTGCTTGTTCAGATTAGTATGAATCATGTTCTGGGATCTTCCCACTAATCTTTGGGGTTCCATTGATTGAGTGGGGCGGGCTACCGTGTGCACAATGTAGAGTGACACTTTGTGTCATTCCATTAGTGGCCGGTATTGTTGTAACAGGATATTGAGGTATCATCTATCTGCTAGTACAGATTAGTATGGCCCGTATTCTGGTGATCTGCCCACTAGTCATTGGTGTTACTATTGGACTAGGTGGGGCGGGTTTGGACCGATGACACAGTATATTGTGACACTTTGTATTGTGATACAGTGGTTACAGTACTGCGGCCTACATTGAACACCACACATTGGCTGCTGCTGTAGGCTGAATGATAGAACAGCTATTTCCATGTTAAAATGTTATGGGATGCATTTTCTCCATTGTTTTTGATCACATATCACGTATATACACACACACAAACATATACAGTACCAGTCAAAAGTATGGACACACCTACTCATTCAAGTTCTTTTTTTTTTTTACTATTTTCTACATTGTAGAATAATAGTGAAGTCTTAAAAACTTAAATTGAAATAACACATAGAATCCTGTAGTAACCAAGAAAGTGTTAAACAAATCAAAATATTTTATATTTGAGATTCTTCAAATAGCCACCCTTTGCCTTGACAGCATTGCACACTATTGGCATTCTCTCAACTGGCTTCACCTGGCATGCTTTTCCAACAGTCTTCAAGGAGTTCCCACATATGCTGAGGGCTTGTTGGCTGCTTTTCCTTCACTCTGCTGTCCGACTCATCCCAAACCATCTCAATTTGGTTGAGGTCGGGGGATTGTGGAGGCCATGTCATCTGATGCAGCACTCAATCACTCTCCTTCTTGGTAAAATAGCCCTTACACAGCCTGAAGGTGTGTTGGGTCATTGTCCTGTTGAAAAGCAAATGATAGTCCCACTAAGCCCAAACCAGATGGGATGGCGTATCACTTCAGAATGCTGTGGTAGCCATGCTGGTTAAGTGTGCCTTGAATTCTAAATAAATCACAGACAGTGTCACCAGCAAAGCACCCCCACACCATAACACCACCTCCTCCATACTTTACGGTGGGAAATACACATGCCGAGATAATCTGTTCACCCACACCGCGTCTCACAAAGCCACGGCGGTTGGAACCAAAAATCTCAAATTTGGAGACCAGACCAAAAGGACAAACTTCCACCGGTCTAATGTCTATTGCTCGTGTTTCTTGGCCCAAGCAGGTCTCTTCTTCTTATTGGTGTCCTTTAGTAGTGGTTTCTTTGCAGCAATTCGACCATAAAGGCCTGATTCACACAGTCCTCTCTGATCAGTTTATGTTAAGATCTGTCTGACTTTAACTCCGTGAAGCATTTATTTGGGCTGCCATTTCTGAGGCTGGTAACTCTAATGAATTTATCCTCTGCAGCAGAGGTAACTCTGGGTCTTCCATTCCTGTGGCGGTCCTCATGAGAGCCAGTTTCTTCATAGCGCTTGATGGTTTTTGCGACTACACTTGAAGAAACTTTCAAAGTCCTTGAAATATTCCGTATTGACTGACCTTCATGTCTTAAAGTAATGATGGACTGTATTTCTCTTCGCTTATTTGAGCTGTTCTTGGCATAATATGGACTTAGTCTTTTACCAAATAGGGCTATCTTCTGTATACCTTGTCACAGCACAACTGATTGGCTCAAACGCTTTAAGAAGGAAAGAAATTCCACAAATTAACTTTTAAGAAGGCACACCTGTTAATTTAAATGCATTCCAGGTGACTACCTCATGAAGCTGGTTGAGAGAATGCCAAGAGTGCGCAAAGCTGTCATCAAGGCAAAGGGTGGCTACTTTGAAGAATCTCAAATATAAAATATATTTGATTTGTTTAACACCTTTTTGGTTAATACATGATTCCATGTGTTATTTCATAGAATAATAGTGTAGACATCAAAACTATAATGTATTTTTTTTTTGGTAAAAATAAAGAATAACCCTTGAATGAGTAGGTGTGTCCAAACTTTTGACTGGTAGTGTGTATATACACATATACAGTTGAAGTCGGAAGTTTACATACACCTTAGCCAAATACATTTAAGCTCAGTTTTTCACAATTCCTGACATTTAATCCTAGTAAAAATTCCCCGTCTTAGGTCAGTTAGGATCACCACTTTATTTTAAGAATGTGAAATGTCAGAAAAAGAGTAGAGTGATTTATTTCAGCTTTTATTTCTTTCATCACATTCCCAGTGGGTCAGAAGTTTACATACACTCAATTAGGGCGGCAGGTAGTGTAGTGGGTAAGAGCGTTGTGCCAGTAACCGAAAGGTCGCTGGTTCTAATCCCCGAGCCGACTAGGTGAAAAATCTGTCGATGTGCCCTTGAGCAAGGCACTTAACCCTAATTGCTCCTGTAAGTCGCTCTGGATAAGAGCGTCTGATAAATAAATTAAATTAAATTAAATTAATTAGTATTTGGTAGCATTGCCTTTAAAATTGTTTAACTTGGGTCAAACGTTTCGGGTAGCCTTCCACAAGCTTCCCACAGTAAGTTGGGTGAATTTTGGCCCATTCCTCCTGACAGAGCTGGTGTAACAGTCAGGTTTGTAGGCCTCCTTGCTCGCACACACTTTTTCAGTTCTGCCCACAAATGTTCTATAGGATTGAGGTCAGGGCCACTCCAATACCTTGACTTTGTTGTCCTTAAGCCATTTTGCCACAACTTTGGAAGTATGCTTGGGGTCATTGTCCATTTGGAAGACCCATTTGTGACCAAGCTTTAACTTCCTGACTGATGTCTTGAGATGTTGCTTCAATATTTCCACAAATGTCCTTCCTCACGATGCCATCTATTTTGTGAAGTGCACCAGTCCCTCCTGCAGCAAAGCACCCCCACAGCATGATGCTGCCACCCCCGTGCTTCATGGTTGGGATGGTGTTCTTCAGCTTGCAAGCCACCCCCTTTCTCCTCCAAACATAATGATGGTCATTATGGCCAAACAGTTCTATTTTTGTTCCATTAGACCAGGGGACATTTCTCCAAAAAGTACAATCTTTGTCCCCATGTGCAGTTGCAAACCGTAGTCTGGCTTTTTTATGGTGGTTTTGGAGCAGTGGCTTCTTCCTTGCTGAGCGGCCTTTCAGGTTATGTCGATATAGGACTTGTTTTACTGTGGATATAGATACTTTTTTACCCGTTTCCTCCAGCATCTTCACAAGGTCCTTTGCACTTTTCGCACCAAAGTACGTTCATCTCTAGGAGACAGAACACGTCTCCTTCCTGAGCGGTAAGACGGCTGCGTGGTCCAAAGGTGTTTATACTTTCGTACTATTGTTTGTACAGATGAACGTGGTACCTTCAGGCATTTGGAAATTGCTCCCAAGGATGAACCAGACTTGTGGAGGTCTACAAATTTCTTTCTGAGGTCTTGGCTGATTTCTTTTCATTTTCCTATGATGTCAAGCAAAGAGGTACTGCGTTTGAAGGTGGGCCTTGAAATACATCCACAAGTACACCTCCAATTGACTTAAATTATGTCAATTAGCCTATCAGAAGCTTCTAAAGCCATTACATCATTTTCTGGAATTTTCCAAGCTGTTTAAAAGGCACAGTCAACTTAGTGTATGTAAACTTCTGACCCACTGGAATTGTGATACAGTGAATTATAAGTGAAATAATCTGTCTGTAAACAATTGTTGGGAAAATGACTTGTGTCATGCACAAAGTAGATGTCCTAACCGACTTGCCTAAACTATAGTTTGTTAACAAGAAATTAGTGGAGTAGTTGAAAAACAAGTTTTAATTACTCCAACCTAAGTGTATGTAAACTTCCGACTTCAACTGTACATCTATACACATATACACACACGTGTGTGTCTTTTGCACCAATTCTGTAAACTGACCTTGTAGTGTCTGTCTTTACCTCCTCTCCCACGCTGTTTTTCTTCTGCCAATTGTCTTCTCCAGCAGGTATCCCAAGGAACGGCTTCTGATGGTCATAAAGTGGGTGGTGTCAGAGGGGAAGAACCATAAAAAAACAATAAAAATACACAGATATTTAGGAGATTTGTAGAGAATAAAGAGACTACAGTTTGAATCTCTGCTGACCTTTCTGTGTCTGGCTCCATCAATGGTTATGTCCTCCTCCTCCCCAGATACTCGCTTTTTGTGCTGTGGGGCTTTTGGGGCCTCAGTTGGATTCTCAGGTTGACTAACCGTTTCCTTATGCTGGGATATGGTGTTTGTCAAAGGTTTCTCAGGCTAAGGGAGAGAGAGAACAAGTCAATTAATTGTATATTGGGCAAAATATCATAGACAACGTCTCGGCTTGTCTAATGGGCTATTGAGTAAGCAATGCAAAGAGCAAATACAGTACATGACAATGGACTTAATAATCATTTCATATTTCATAATTGTTTTGCTGCAAATTGTTTAACGTTCATTGTGTGCTTTACCAGCAAGAGCACACCTAGGCCTATACCCATGTACTTGCATATATATGTGCACAGGAAACCCCTTTGCCTCCATCTTTCACTACTACAGCAAAACATGTTATTAATAAATCAGAAACCTTTCTTGAAAACATCTTGAACATCTGGATTTGATCATTTGGACAAGTTGCCTTTGAACATGAATGAAATAACAGCTTCTGATCTCCAATGAACCATTGATTGTCACTAATTGGGTGGTCCTGTCAAACCTAGGCCCTGACAGAATGAAAAACAACCTAAAGAAATCTAAAGAAAGTCCAAGTACTAGGCTACATGGTTAATGAACATTACTATTCTCATATTGCTGTTGGATCACTGTCATTTCACTGATTGAGAGAGAAAGAACACCTATAGACCACTCACCCTTCTACCACTGGGAGTGGTGTGTGTTTTGCCCTGGGATGATGAGGACGAATCAGACGAACGTGAGGACGACGACCCAGAGTCAGAATCTGAGGAGTCACTAGATGAGGAAGCCCGTCTTCCCTGCTTTTCTTCTTTCTTTTGACTTCTCTCCCTTCCTTTTTCTACCTTGCCCTTCTCTGGTGGGGTTGAGGGAGGTAGCACAGCTCCCGCTGGAACCGAGGGGGCGTTTGTTTCTCTGGTCATCTCTCCCACCGCCTGTTTGTCGGTTTCCTCTTTATGTGCTTGGAGATGCTCCTCTGACGCCAGGCTCTTACCCTTTTCTTCTTCAGGACTCTTACCCATTGTGGCAATCACTGGGGTCTCCCTCTCTGGCCCTGTCGTCCCTGACGTGTTTGCTACAGAAACAAGGACCCCCTGTCTTGCAGGCTTCTTTGGTGCTGCTTGTCCAGCAGAAGGCTGGGGCCCCTGCGGTGTAACTTCCTGCTCTGGTTCCCCAGGTTTGCTGGGGGACTGGAGAGCTAAGGCCTGAGGATGGGGGCTTTCAGAGAATGTACGGGGCCTCTTGATGACCAGGGATGCTGAAGATGGGGATAGAACTAGGGGGTCTCTCAAGAAACGGAACTTCTTGAAGGAGGACTGTGGTGATAGAGACGTTGCTAGAGTTTGTGACAGGGGCGTACCAGATTCAGCTGGCTGGTTGTCTCTTGATGCTGTTTGGGGTAGGGATGGCACTTTGGGCTCCCCACCCTCCTCTGTTGCCGCCATCTTACCTGCTCCTGTGGAGAGGGGAGGAGTACGCAGGGGGGTAAGACCAATCTCACGACTACGCTTCCATGGAGGAAGATGACTAGCCCTCTCTCTTTCAGCCACCTTAGCCCTTTCCTCCTCCTGTTCCAAAGCCCTCTCCTTCTCTCTCTGCAGGACCTTCTCCTGTTCCAAAGCCCTCTCCTTCTCCCTCTGCAGGACCTTCTCCTGTTCCAAAGCTCTCTCCCTCTCCTCTTTCTCTCTCTCTCTCTGCAGGACCTTCTCATGTTCCAAAGCTCTCTCCCTCTGCAGGACCTTCTCCTGTTCCAAAGCTCTCTCCCTCTCCTCTTTCTCTCTCTGCAGGACCTTCTCCTGTTCCAAAGCTCTCTCCCTCTCTTCTTTCTCCCTCTGCAGGACCTTCTCCTGTTCCAAAGCTCTCTCCTTCTCTCTCTGCAGGACCTCCTCCTGTTCCAAAGCTCTCTCCCTCTCCTCTCTCTCTCTCTGCAGGACCTTCTCCTGTTCCAAAGCTCTCTCTCTCTCCTCCTTTTCTCTCTGCAGGACCTTCTCCTGTTCCAAAGCTCTCTCCCTCTCCTCTTTCGCTCTCTGCAGGACCTTATCCTGTTCCAAAGCTCTCTCCCTCTCCTCTTTCTCTCTCTGCAGGACCTTCTCCTGTTCCAAAGCTCTCTCCCTCTCCTCTTTCACTCTCTGCAGGACCTTCTCCTGTTCCAAAGCTCTCTCCCTCTCCTCTTTCACTCTCTGCAGGACCTTCTCCTGTTCCAAAGCTCTCTCCTTCTCTCTCTGCAGGACCTCCTCCTGTTCCAAAGCTCTCTCCCTCTCCTCTCTCTCTCTGCAGGACCTCTCCTGTTCCACTCTCCCTCCTCCTGCAGGACCTTCTCCTGTTCCAAAGCTCTCTCCCTCTCCTCCTTCTCTCTCTGCAGGACCTTCTCCTGTTCCAAAGCTCTCTCCCTCTCCTCTTTCTCTCTCTGCAGGACCTTCTCCTGTTCCAAAGCTCTCTCCCTCTCCTCTTTCACTCTCTGCAGGACCTTCTCCTGTTCCAAAGCTCTCCCCCTCTCTTCTTTCGCTCTCTGCAGGACCTTCTCCTGTTCCAAAGCTCTCCCCCTCTCTTCTTTCTCTCTCTGCAGGACCTTCTCCTGTTCCAAAGCTCTCTCCTTCTCTCTCTGCAGGACCTTATCCTGTTCCAAAGCTCTCTCCTTCTCCTCTTTCACTCTCTGCAGGACCTTCTCCTGTTCCAAAGCTCTCCCCCTCTCTTCTTTCGCTCTCTGCAGGACCTTCTCCTGTTCCAAAGCTCTCCCCCTCTCTTCTTTCTCCCTCTGCAGGACCCTCTCCTGTTCCAAAGCTCTCTCCCTCTCCTCCTTCTCTCTCTGCAGGACCTTCTCCTGTTCCAAAGCTCTCTCCCTCTCCTCTTTCGCTCTCTGCAGGACCTTCTCCTGTTCCAAAGCTCTCTCCCTCTCCTCATTCTCTCTCTGCAGGACCTTCTCCTGCTCCAAAGCTCTCTCCCTCTCCTCTTTCTCCCTCTGCAGGACCTTCTCCTGTTCCAAGGCTATCTCCTTGTTCTCTCTCTCATGTTCCAAAGCTTTTTCCCTCTCCTCTCTTTCTTTCTCCATGGCTCTTTCTTTCTCAAGGGCTTTCGCACGTTCAATTATTTCTTGCTTCAAAGCCCTCGCCTTCTCCTCCCTCTCTTTCTCCCTCTCCTCCCGTTCCAAAGCTTTCTGCCGCTCTAGCTCCAAAGCTTTCTCCCTCTCCAACAGTTCTCGCTCCAAGGATTTCTCCCTTTCCTGCCTCTCTCGCTCCAAAGCTTTCTCCCTTTCCACCCGCTCCAGAGCCCTTTCCCTCTCCTCCCTCTCTTGCTCCAAAGCTCGCTCTCGTTCCATGGCTCTCTGCTTTTCTAACTGCATAGCCTTCTCTCTAACAAGCTCCAGGGCTTTCTCTCTTGCCATAGCCTTCTCTCCCTCTTCCCTCTCTTTCTCCAAAGCCCTCTCAGTCTCCTCCCTTTCTGCCTCCAAAGCCTTTTCCCTTTCCTTCCTTTCTGCCTCCAAAGCCTTCTCCCTCCCTCGCTCCAAAGCTCTTTCCCTATTTTGCTCCACGGCACGCTGTTGCTCAAATATTCTCTGCCTCTCCAGTTTTTCCTGCTCTACAGCTCTAAGTCTGTCTTGCTCAAGGGCTTTTTCTCTTTCCCTCTCTGCCTGCAGCTCCTTTTCCTTGTTTTCTTGTTGCCATGTAGCATCTCGCTCTTCCATAATAGTGGGCCTAAGCACACTCACAGGAACTTCACTGTGGGGGAGATGGCCTCCAAGGACTCCCTGGTTGGTTACTGTAACCTGTCTGGGGAAGGGCAAACTGGCTGCAGCATTGGTTGTGTGGGTGATGGCAGACACTATGCCCTCTTGAGGACCTCTAGCAGAAGACATTGTTGCAGTTGCAGCATTGTTGTCCTGTCTCTCTGCATCCCCACGTCCATGCCACCCAACTCCAGAGAAAGCCCCCTCTGATGCCATCTTGCGTGCCAGCAGGGTCAGTGGGCCAGGCTTGCGCTCTGCATTGCTTTGTGGCTCTGGGCTGCTACTACGACTGCCACTGCTAGAGGAGCCAGAGCTGGAGGTACTGGAAGTACACTGCCTAGCTGGGGGCTCACCTGGACTAGGGGGGCTTTGTTTAGGTGTATCAGGCAGTGGGAATGATAACTCTGGGGGAGGGGAGGGAGGAGGGGTAGGCTGTCGAAGCTGCGGAGACAACAGGGGGGGAATGTGCTGTGGGTGTTGGTGGGATCCTCCAGACCTCGCTCTTGCTAATTGGCCTCTTGGTGGCTCTACTAGATTCCTCCTCCTGGCACCGCTATCCCAGTCCTCATCAGCGCCGTCATCATCGCCATCTGCTGGGACTTGACTAGAGGTTGGGACTCTCTCCGGTCGCTGCTCGCCACCAGCAACACGCACAGCCAGAGAGGCAACGGCAGCAGGGGCAGAGGTAGGCGAGGTAGGAGCAGGTGGACCAGACACATGGCCATCTCTGGACATGTGCCCCTCTCCATCGCTTGCTGGGCCTGCTAGTCCCTCTCCCTCGGAGGGGCCAAGAAGCTTGAGCTGGTCAACCAACACGGGTGCGACATCCTGATGAGGACAGAAAGGGTGTTGAGATTGAGTTTGTTGCAGGACTATGCCAGAGTTTCTCCCATGCAAGCAATTGTTCAAGCATTCATTAAACTGCATGCAAGATCACATCAATCATGCAAGATTCTCATACATGCAAGCTTTTCTCACACATGCAAGTTGTACAACAGGAGACTTAAAAAACGAAAGTATACAGCGATTAGTCTGCAACTAACCGGGTCTGGGGCAGCACAGGCAGAGCTGTTATTGTCCTGTGTGTGGTCCTCTTGGTCTGTATCTGGAAAAACATAGTAGTGATATGTAAGAGGGGAAAGTAACCTGAGCAAGAGATGAGTAGTTGATCTGATTTGATACACAAACAAAGCTTTCTCAGTAAAGGCATGGAGCTGGCATGGAAACTACTCAAGCTTAAACTCCAAGCCAATATGTACAGGTGAGGGGGGGGGGGGGGGGGGCACTGCCAACTTACCATCATCTTCGACTGCTTCCCGGGCCTCTCTCTCCAGACGCTGCCTCAAGAGCTCCTGCTGTTTCGCCAAATACTGCTTTATGAAGCTGTTCTGGCTCATCTCTTCACCAATCTGAAATACACAGACTAATAAAATCCTTGCCCATAACCATCATCTTGAAGAAGTAATCAGAGAAACTGCCAAATATCTACACAAGGAGACGATTTAAATATGTTATGGTTCATTGGAAGAAAAAAAAAAATTAAATAAGGAAGAAAGTCACAATATATACTCCCAACAATTGAATGGGTAAACCTAACCAATGTTTCTGCAACGCAGTGCATTCTTCATGGTGCTAAAACATGATCCTTGCTATGCAACATCTTGATAGGTCTTACCTGGGAGTTTGGCTGCAGTCCTATGTGATGGTGTGAAGTTCTCTGGAGGTTCTCCAGCATGAGAGCCTGTCACAAACATAAGAAATGATGACAAATAGAAAACACAGTAAACAACCTTTTACACCCTAAATAATTAGTCATTGTTGTATTGCATCTGATAGTCATGTTGTTGAGTTAGCTCCACGATGTGCTCAGAGGAAAGCACTCACATGGCAGACAGGCATGTGTGAACCAGTATCTGGGCCAAGGAGGAGCCGATGAATATCGTCCTCCTCGGCCCAGATACTGGTCATACTGGTTCAACAGGCATGCAACAGTCACTGTTCTGCAAAACATCAAAGTCAAGATCAAAGTTTCATAGTCGTAGAAGAAGCGTAGACTGGCCGATATATGGCTCATTCTTATGATACTACAGGTGTTGACTGTTCATCCAGCTATGCAATTCACTGGATGCAACATTACATCTTCTAATTATACAATTAAACAAGGCACAAAACCATTTAAACTTTTTTTACTATAATTAATTTTATTGGTTACTACGCTTCCCCAACGCGTACTTGTTTAAAGTACAGTAAATAGTAAGTTACCTTGCAGGCGCGTCCACGTTGTATAACCCCCCCCCCCAACACACACACACACAAACACCACACCACACACACCCACACACACACCACACAACCCACACACCCACAACACCACTTTTGCACATCAACAAAGCGATGACGCTGCCGCGGTTGATAAAACTAGTTATCACCAGCAATAGCTACCTTCCAGACGTGTCTCACATAAACAACACACGTCCATTTAAACTTTGGTTAACAATTTATTTATCAAACGAGCAATTTAAAATGGTACAACATAGCACAAAGCTTCCAACGACGACAAAACATCAACACCACATAAAGTAAGCAGCACACATATTTTTTTTCACAAACTAGTCAAGAACTCCGGCCTGCAAGACAAGCATCCGCCAGTCTCTACTAGCCAACACCGAGGTTTAGCGACTGCATGTTATAAATGGTCTCAAATACTTAACGAAACGTACCCCTTTGAGTCTCTTAATGAGAGCATTTTTCTGTCCGCTTTTAGGAAGCCCGCGCTCCTCTAAAGCAGCTTTCAAATCCGCCACGCGAAGAGATTGTAGGGGCCTCCCGTCCAGCTTAACGTCTTCGAGGTCCGCCATTTTCCCCTTTCCACTCGTTCGCGTCAGCAACGCCTTCCTTCTACTAACGTCAGAGTAGACAACTTCCGGTAAAAGTGTAAACGGAATCATTGGTTGTATTACAAATTCTTAGATTTTATTAAAATAAGACACATAAATTAGATGGTGGATTGTTATCCATACAAGCTATTCACTGTGAACATGCAGAAATAAGATACCTAAACATTCTTTTGAAAATGTCCTTTCCCAGATTGTTATTTGTGCCAACAGGGGGAACTCTTTCACATGTCCAAATAATCTGTGGGTCGTGTCAAGGGAGATGGGTCTGAACACAGACAGAAGGGGTAACCATAATTATATTTGGTCTGACTGTGATCAGAGTCAGGAGAAACCAGAGAGAAAAAGGAAGAGAGAGGCCCAACTCAGCGGAAAATCTGTCTCCCTCCAGCAGCTGGCTATTTTTCGTTGTTTCCCACAGCAAGCAAGGAGTTTTTGTATGGAGGTCACCGAGTTATCCTGTTAACTTTTGTGCCGAATCCACTGCGGTGTTTCAGGTACAACGTTTATGGTCATGTTGCAGAAGTGTGTAGGAGGGCGATTCCAAGATGGGGAAGTGTGCAGGAGAACATGGGACAGAGGATTGTGTAGTTTCGGTGGTTTAGTTGGAAGGGGGTTTTATTATTATTATTTTATTTTTTATGAAATAGTGGTATAGGTGTAGGGTTAGTTGGTGGTGCAATTTTTTCCTTTTCCCACTTTTTTATTTTTGTATCACAAAATGTAACGTGATTGAACACACACTACCGCACAGTAGGTGGAGGCATGCACAAACAAAATGTGCGAACGCCATGATACCAATGAAGAAGAAGAATACAGCGCCAGCACAGATAGAACAATGAGACAGATATTTCACTGGATGTATACATTTGAAACATCCGGTTGGCGTTTGCACTCACTACCAAATATGGTAGTGAGAGGAAGCCCAGTGGCCAGTAGTGGGAGTAGATGGATTATGGCCGACATTCTGATAATTTACTCATTGGTGAAACATTTGATCTCAATACAGTTTACTGTTCCAAAAACTGCAATCTGTTAGGAACAGAGTGGACAACGTTTTGTAGGCTTTAGCCTTTGCCAAAGTTTCAAAAAATGGTGTTGTTTAGGAGTGCAAAGGCGAATTGAGTTACTGCACACGTGCACTTCAAAGTAGGCGTTCCCCAACGGAAATATGCAAAATTATGATAGAACGCGCCAATAGAAAGATGGCGGAAGTGGATGATGAAGTGAATTCTGAATCTAATGGCGGTAGAATCAAGGAGAATTTAATATTGTCCAAAAGAATGGAAAACGGAGTAAAGTAGAGTACAGTGAAGAGAAAAAAAATATATATATATATAAATATAATGTCAATTCGTATATTGTAGGAGTAAGGTTTGTAAATGAGGAGCAGCTGATAGAATTACCAGTCTTGAGGAATCCATTTGAGATAGTGCTGGGTAGAGTGAAGGCTGTGAGGATCACGAGAGGCGGGCTTGTTTAGATTTTTTGTGCTTCTGAGGATCAGACGAAACGTGTGTTGCATTTCAACCGATTTGATACGTTTTAAGTGTCGTGTGTGTCTCTTAGGAACAGGGCACCCCTCAAGGGGGTTATGTAGCTCAGTTGGTAGAGCATGGCGTTTGCAACGCCAGTGTTGTGGGTTTGATTCCCACGGGGGGCCAGTATGAAAAAGAATACAAAAAATAATGTATGCACTCACTAACTGTAAGTCGCTCTGGATAAGAGCGTCTGCTAAATGACTAAAATGTAATGTAATGTAAATGTTATATCTGGAGTCTCGTGGGAAGTAGATGTTGAAGAGATTAAAAATATTCCTGGAGTGATTGATGCACGTCGGATGAATAGTGTGGTGAATGAAGAAAACGTGAAGAGTCTATCTGTTCTTTTATTTTTTTTATATGGAGTCTCTCCCTACTCAAGCGCAGTTAGGGTATATTAACTACAGAGTCAGAGCATTTATCCCAATACCAATGCAGTGTGATCATTGTAAAGTGTTTGGTCATGTTTCAAGGGTTTGCAGAAGGGAGAAGCCGAGATGTCCAAGTTGTGGAAAATATCCTATTATGTGTTATAAAAGTGATGAAAATGTGACATGTTGCAATTGTGGTGGGAACCATGAAGCCACATCTTTCTAATGCCCCACAAGAGTGAAAGAGAATGAGGTGGTCAAAGGCAGGGCTATCCAGAGCATATCATATGCAGCAGCTGTTAAAAGGGTTAAGGGTTTGAATGGTGCACTTGAAGAGTCCATGGTGGTGGATAGGCCTTCACTGTATGGGTTGCCTTTCACCAGCAGGATCCTGACATTGTAAAGGTTAAGAAGGTGGACTTTATGGCCTTTATAGCTATGGTGATAAATGGCACTGCCAAGGTGGAGAGAAGGTCCAGGAAGAAATAAATCATTGTGGAGGTGGCGGAGCGGTTCCTGGGGCTGAAAGATTTCTCGGCGAAGGAATATTGTCACAAGCCATACCACCCTCTCAGGCCCTAGAGCCTGAGAAGGGTGATATGGAGAATTGAAAGAATGATTGTTTTGTCAATGTACTATTTTTATTTGGGTGGATTAAGTTAGTTTCCCTATCACATATGGATTTTATTTTTTACCTTGTTTCGATTTCAACACGTCCAGTTGGTGGCGGCAATACACCTTTTTGGGTTGTAGTCCGCCATAAAACCCACAGAAGAAGAAGAACGCGCCAATAGGATCTCGCTAGCTCGTTCATGGCTCTGCCCACCTTCTTGCTTGTTCTGCCCGTTATGGCTCATATGTTCCCATTTGAAACGACAGGCTGTGGTCTATCTTGGTTTAGTTATAAATATATTTGATGCCAGTGCTGCTCGGCTCAGTTGGAGGTTTCAACATGTTGAAAATAAGAAGAACGTGACTTGTAAAAAACGGTGCATGGTGAGGAATAATGTGTTTTTAGATATCTGAGCATGTCTGGTGGTAATTTTCCATATCAAACGTTACCGGCGTTCGGTACACAACTAACTAGCCACCATACAAAGAAGGAAGTGCCATTACTGTCTAAGTTAGCTACTGTTGTGGTCGAAGCAGATAGAATAAACACAAAGAACTGGTTACGATAGCCAGCTATCTATATGACATGATCGAAGAGGGATGTCCAAGTTCGGTGGTAACTAGCCCTTCATCATGACTATCAGTTCCATTACATTACACATACAAGTAATTGGACGAAGGCGTCTTCTGTGGGGTGGGGGGTTGTTTAGAGTCGCGTCGCTTGTGGTACGGTTTTGGGATCTTTCATATCGGCCAGAAATAATATTCCAAAAACAAAAGGTAAAATTGATACACCTTTTATAGGGTTCCCACACGGTCATATTTCCATGTTACAGAGCTTGCTTACGGAAGACGGAGTGGACTACCAGTGCTAATTAGCTGTCTGCATCTCAAACACCTGTGTGCGGAACACAGACGCCACAAACATGTTGTCCCTTGAAAAATAGTCGGCTGCAGCTGTGTTAAAACAGTGTATGGCACAGGAGGTTGGTGGTACCTTAATTGGGGAGGACGGGCTCGTGGTAATGAGTGGAATGACATTCCATTTGCTCTGTTCTAACCGTTATTATGACCTGCCCTCCCCTGAGCAGCCTCCTGTGGTGTACATTAAGTGTGTATTTTGCATTTGTGAAAGTAGAGGGATTTATGTTTCTAGAATGTAGCGCAATTGAGAATCGATTCACGTTTAGATGTATTTGGCTGTTTTGCCTTCCAGAGCCAATTTTCCCTTTAAACAGAACATGTAAGGTCCTTGGACTAAGGATTAATGTTAGGCTCCTTTAGTCCAACATTGGGCTAGGTGGTAACTAACATATCCTGATCCTGTAACTATTAGGCTAGCTATTTGGACATCTCATCTGTTTATGTAAACATGACATGAGACATTTATTTACCATATCTTTATTATTCTGTTTTTCCAAAGATGTCCTGGTTCTTCCATGTCAATCAAGGCTCAAACCAGCAGCCCCCTGGCATGATGCCCCCAGCTGCTGGCACCCTGTCCAGCAACACACACTATCCCAACATCAGTAGCAACACACTGGATACAGCTAACACTGCTGGACAGGGTTGGCTCTGCGCACAGTCCAGTTCGTCTTCACCCAGCCAGGCAGACTTTCCGTCAGTACCACAGGGTTTAGTGCCTCCCAGCTTGGAGAACCTATCTTGTACCTCTCTGAACTCAGCGGCAGGCAGAGAGCCCCTGCCACTCTCCTATGTAACTCTTCAGGAGCAGCGTTGTGTATTGAGCTGGTTCCTGAGCTGGGGCACTGCCCAGAGGGAACGGTTTCTGCAGGACCTGTTGGGGAAAGCTGTGCCAGGGAAAGTGTGTACCCTCCTCGAGTCGCTCAATACGCTACAGGTACAACCCATCTTGCTATTACAATTATGTAATGGTTTGTCCTCCAGATACCAGTTACTCCAGTTACTAGTAATGTAACAGTCATGTTGATCTCATTTGCACTGAAACCCTCACCACCATCTGTTCCTTTCTGATTCTAGGTTAAGGACAGCCCACCAAATATCTTTGAGTGCCAACTGCGCCTCTGGACCCAATGGTTTGAGTCATGGAGTGAGGAGGAGAGGAACAGTTTCCTGCACATTCTAGAAGAGAGGGACCCGATCTTTGTTGCCCACTTCTACAGAGGTGTAGCTGGGACAGCAGGCAGGGATTGAGGGATACGGGAGAAGAGGGTGTAGAATGGATAGACAATGCGTGGGTGGTAGACAGATAGAAACAAGTAAAGTTGGAGTGGTACATGGGGAAGCATATGTGTGGAGACAGTGAAGAACGGGGGGGTGGTTAAGAGCGTTGGGCCGGTAACTGAAAGGTCGCTGGTTCGAATCCCCGAGCCAACTAGGTGAACATTTTTGATGTGCCCCTAGGTGAAAAATGTCGATGTGCCCTTGAGCTAGGCACTTAACCCTAATTGCTCCTGTAAGTCGCTCTGGATAAGAGCGTCTGCTAAATGACTAAAATATAAATGTAAAATCATTTTTTCTGGCTAGGGCTGAGATGAATCTAGTAAAGTATGAGAAAGCCCTTATAGTATTGATACATATTCTGTTGATGACATACTTGTGGGTAGTACAGGAGAAGACATGGACTGAATAAGGTGAACATATTCATTTAATTCTCAATTACCAAACTAATGGATAGATGTAATATCCTTATTGATCAACCCTTTGCTCTTCTCTCAGTGCAGTTACACCACAGCTGTGTTCAGGTAAAATGGAGTGAGTGTAGACTAGAGGTAGATAAATAAGTGTGAGAGACCAGGGCCAATTCTGTTACCAGTGGGAATGCTTATACTTCTGTAATGATCTTGAGCAGTTTTCTACAATGCCAGAAATAAAATGCTATTTCATAGATCAGGTGCCATATTTTATTTGTTGAATGATTGAAAATGCATAATTGAAATAACATAATCTTGAATCAACACCACAGAAATGATTACATTTTTAAAGATGATTCTACGTGAAGATTTTATACTGAAATTAATTTGATGTCAAATGCAATATCTCTACTGTATCCATGACACTGAGCCAACACGAGTTAAGACAATCGGAGCATCCTCATCATTAGTCTCCAGACAGGTATTGAAGAATGGATATAGTTTATCCGTGAATCTATTGCCTGTGAATGTATGGAGAAGAGACCTGGTATCTGCATTGTAGAAAGAGACCTCTCCCTTCTTGTAGTCCAATAGTATTCCAAACTTCTGGGGGAGTGCAGACAGCTGAATGTCAAGTGGACGAGCTGCAAGGGCTTTGAGCGCACCTTGTTTCGTCAAGATCATGGTCCAGTAGCCATCTGCTGGTTTTAGTTTCAGCTGCCCCTTCCTATTAGCTGATCCGCTGGCAACTCCGATGTTGTAACATGTCTTCCCAGCCACTTCAACCTCCCAGTAATTTCTCCCCCTGTTAAACCCAGTCTTTCCAAGAGCAGCAAGAGACAAGTCATACCGCCCTGGATTGTTGGGGACATTACGTCGCTGTTGTGCTACAGACATTTCTGTCTCATCCAGTGACAGAATGATTTTAGGATGGGCTGTGTCCGGGTCTAAGGCCACCTTAGCTGTGGGTAGAGAGGAATGGATATAGTAATAGTCTCTACTGCACAGAGCCAGACATTCATGCAATATGCTTCACACATGTACATCCATTCAATGTTGATATGTCAATTATCTTCCAGACTTACAGCTATGGACAATCGTTTCTGGATCGACCTGAAGATCTAAGAGAAGAGTGCAACCCAAAGACATTGTATTAATTCACAATAAAAGCCTTGACATGTTTTTGTCTGACAAAGGTAAAAAGACACATCTTACCTTGTAAATTCATCTTGAGTTTGTCATTCTCGTCTTGCAAACCTTTATAGAGTGAAAGGAGGGGCGAGAGAGAAATAGCTTGAGACAACAAACGAGACAACTCCTCAAAATTATTTGCAGTATTGAAGGCTATTGTTGAACTCTTTTACATGTTCAGTGTTTGGTTTACATTATAATCACTGTCCTATTGATTGGTCGCTGATAATACGAATATCTCACTCTTATTTATCCCCTGTAGTCTGGCATTGTCATCCTTGCTGTCTCTGAGTTGCTGCTGCAGTCTATTGAAGGCTGCCTCCTTCTCTCGCAATTGCTGCTGCAGTTTAAGCAAGTCCTCTTGGTTTTGATCGTTTTGTCGCTGTACCTCTGGGTGATACATGTTGTTCAGTACACCACATTCAGCAAATCATTTACATCTATTGAAACTGTTAACGAAGTACAATGAAAATCTCACCATTGCACCTGTGCTGGATTTCATCACATTCCATTTTCATTTCCTTCTGTAATTTCTCCAGCTCTAAAAAGAGATGAAAGAGAGAAGTTCAAATATTTCCCCCCAAGATGACCAGAAAGGCTTTCAGGGACCTGTGTGTCACACCTCTATTTCTGGAGTCCAGTCTTGAATTCAGCTTCTCCTTGGCTTTAAGTTGTTTCTGTAGCTCTGGGTTGAAGGAAAGCAAAATGAATCATAATGACTATAGACAGAACGACTCCCCAAACCCTTGTATTTTTAACACTATTCAATGTGATATTTTGATGATTATACATAAGTGGAACATGAGACAAAATAGACAAACCAGAGATTTCTGCTGCAGTTTCATCTTTGGCTTTTGAAGCTTCCGTTCGTATGGCTTTCATTTCTTTCTGGAGTTCAATGATCTTCAGAACTGAAAGAACAGAACAAAAAGGCACTGTGTAATTCAATACTAACATCAAACACTGGTATTCAACTTTTTATAAGATTATAAATGTTGAATGACTTCTAAAAATGACTCTTGTCAACATACTCTGTTCTGCATTTTTGGCATCCACAGCTCTCAGTTGTGTAGCGTTGTCTTCAAGCTGCTTGCTCTTCTGCTTCAGTAGACTCTGTAGCTCTGAGGAGGAAAGACATTTATATATCTTACCATTTATACTCTACCCTGTGTTAAATAAAGGTAGACTGCGAAATGAAGTTGCCACGAGCAGCACAAGAGATGTTGAGATGAGCGAGATGCAACGCTTCGTTCTCACACATTATCTGCGCCTGTGCTCGGTTTCGCTTCACGCTGTTCACAGCGTTGTAGCCAGGACACCAAAACAGCGGAGAAGTTAAGCCTTACGCTTCAACGATTTTAGTTGTTGTGGAAATGTACTTTCTGCATCAACGTCATATCGCTGAGTCTACCGCTAAAATAGCATCCACTTCAACTCAATTCTTTATTTGCGTCAACCCAACAAGACGTTCAATAGTGTTTTAAGGAAGCCCAATTTACCTTCGATCTTGTCAGCACTTGTCTGTTTGAGCTCTGATAATGTTCTCTCTAACTCTGTCACTTTGTTACGAAGTCCCATGATCTCTGCAACTGAAAAAGAAAAGCACGCCACTCTGGATGAAGCATTCAGAAACCGTAGAAATTATTGACTTGTAGATAAACTCCTGGAAACATGCTTGACAACTTACTGAGTTGTGGAATTCTACTGCCTGTTTCTTTCAGCTCCTCTTTCTTTTCATTCAGCTGTTCTCTCGTCTCCTGTAGTTGATTCTCTAGCTCTATGAGACACAAACATTATTTCAAATGTTCTCCTCTTTCCACCACAACGTTTTCTATTACACGGTATGCCTACAAAAAGCTCTTAGTGGTGAATATAAGGATAATAAACTCTCCAGCGTGACTTTAAGACTATTACTGAGGATAAAGAAAAATTACAATAGCACTCACCAGCAATCTTGCCCTCAGATGTCTGGTTGAACTCTAATTCTTGCCTCTGTAATCTTGTGACTTGATTTTGGAGTGCAATGATCTGCAGAACTAAATGAGCAGGGGGATGCAGGATGTCACAACATTCAACAATTGTTACCTTCATAATTCTCCCAATTTAAAAGGGATAATTCACCCTGAAATGAAATGTGATGTACTACATCATCATGGTATGGTTCTCGTCATTAGAGATACAGAGAGCTCCAAAAGTATGTACAGTGACACGTTTTGTGGTTGTTTTGGCTCTGTACTCCAGAACTTTGGATTTGGAATGAAACAATGACTATGAGGTTAAAGTACAAACTGTCAGCTTTAAATTGTGGGTATTTTCATCCATATCTGGTGAACCATTTAAAAATTACATCACTTTCTGTACATAGTCCCCCCATTTTAGGGGACCAAAAGTATTTGGACAAATTCACTTATGTGTATTAAAGTAGTGAAAAGTTTTGTATTTGGTCCCATATTCCTAGCACGCAATGATTACATCAAGCTTGTGACTCTACAAACTTGTTGGATGCATTTGAGGTTTGTTTTGGTTGTGTTTCAGATTATTTTGTGCCCAACAGAAATTAATTAATTAATTAATGTATTGTGTTATTTTGGAGTTGCTTTTATTGTAAATAAGAATATAATATGTCTCGAAACACTTTTACATTAATGTGGATGCTACCATGATTATGGATAATCCTAAATGAATCAAGAAAGTTACAGAGGCATACGAGAGACACACGAGACTACCACGTTGAACATGGTGAAAATATACACTCCTTAATTGATAGTGCAGTTTGTTTCTGCGATTTTACAGCTAGCTAGATACTTCACATGCTGATATTGACATTGGTATTATTGTGTGTAACTACGTTTGCTAGCTAGCTACATAGCTAGCTAACTAGCAAGCTTGAACAGAGCGAGAGAGCACTGGATTGTGAGTTTTGTAGTCAATTTAGCTGTAAAAGATTTCAACGATTTTCAGATGTTGCTCCCAATCTTGACAAAGTGAAAAATGTGTAAACAAAAAACATTTGTTCTCGCATATTAGAGTTATTTAACATCGTAAATCATAAGAATTAGTGGTTTTAGGAGGATAATTCCTTTAACGAACCTAAGTAAAGTAGAATATCCAAATCACGATAGCAGCCAACCCAGAAATGATCAGGCTTTTCAAACTCACTTTGTTTACAGTTTCCATTGTTCTTCTCCTCGATTGTGGCAATCAATTCATCCAGTTCATTCTCAAGCGCTGTGGACAAGAATAATTGAAGAGCTTGAATGTTACAAGCATAATGGGATTGGAAAACTCCATGAATGGGCAAAATCCAGTGTATTTCCATCACACCATCCTATATGTCTACCAGTGAAGGACTATCCCTTTGAGGAAACATGATAACTATTTGTATTGGTCTTATGTGCTGAACACACAGTGACTCCTATGTTCTTCAGAACGCCTGCTACTCACCAGCAATCTGGTCAAAGTTTGTCCCATTGCTAACTCCTTTCTGCAGGTTCAAGATCTCATTCTGTATTGCTATGATCCTTAGAACTGCAACAAACAAACACCTTAACAATTTGAGGAATATCATATACAGAGAAATACTGAGCAGGCTGGGCCTAAATGGTAAAAGCTGTCTGTTCAACTGAAAACAGACTCTATAATGGCAAAGGCTAAATAAAACTCACCATTCTCTGGTTGAGGAGCATTATCCTCCAGTTCCTGTGTTTTCTTTGCCAGTTCTTTGATCTTCTCATCCAGCAACTTCTGGAGCTCTGAAAGATGAGGAAAAATCATGACGGGATCAACGCTAACATATCTTTAGAAACAAACATGATTTGCTATGAATAATGAGCGGCAACAGGGATACTCACCATTGATCTTAGCTGCAGAAGTCACAGTTCTCTTCTTTAGATCGTCTACCTCATTAGTCAGCGTCCATACCTCAAGAACTGACAGAACACATTGAAATGAGCTGAGTAACGAGACTACTCGACTCATTCATCTGTGAGCACTGATGTACATTTATCCACTCACCAAGTTTGTCGTTGTATCCAGTTACATTGTCCAGTTTATTCAGTGAAGCACCAAGCTTATCTTGCAGACCTGTGAGAGACCAATACAAATCAGCTTTTAACTAAGTTCTATTCAATAGGGTTCTATTATGTCGATCCCTCAGTGTCATCAGCAAAAAGTAGAGAGAGGTGAAGCTCACTGTCATATCTGTCCTGGAGTCCAGAGCACTGTTCATCCTTATCGCCCAGCCTCTTCTCCAGGTCTGGTTTGAGAAAAGAATATTAGACTGATGAGATGTGTGCTTCTGTTTCTTTACCTGTAGTTGTGATTCAAGCAGCTATGCTCACCAAGTGTCTAGTTACACAAACTGGTGAACCAGACTAATATCAGAAGAACCTGATCTTGGCTTACCTTTGTTCTGGGCCTGACATCTGGCGCTATCTTCCTCTCTGGCCTGTAGTTGTTCCTGAAGCGCTGTAATTCAAGTACTAACGTTAGCATATTGCTACATATAATCGGTACATCATAATGACTATACATGCAACATTTCCCTCAAATCCATTTATTTTTAACATTATTCAACATGTGAGATTTTGATAATTATACACACAGTTGAAGTTGGAAGTTTATTTACACCTTATCCAAATACATTTAAATTCAGTTTTTCACAATTCCTGACATTTAATCCTAGTAATAATTCCCTGTCTTAGGTCAGGTAGGATCACCACTTTATTTTAAGAACGTGAAATGTCAGAATAATGGTAGAGAGAATGATTTATTTCAGCTTTTATTTCTTTCATCACATTCCCAGTGGGTCAGAAGTTTACATACACTCAATTAGTATTTGGTAGCATTGCCTTTAAATTGTTTAACTTGGGTCAAACGTTTTGGGTAGCCTTCCACAAGCTTCCCACAATATGTTGGCCCATTCCTCCTGACAGAGCTGGTGTAACTGAGTCAGGTTTGTAGGCCTCCTTGCTCGCACACACTTTTTCAGTTCTGCCCACACATTTTCTATAGGGTTGAGGTCAGGGCTTTGTGATGGCCACTCCAATACCTTGACTTTGTTGTCCTTAAGCCATTTTGGCACAACTTTGGAAGTATGCTTGGGGTCATTGTCCATTTGGAAGACCCATTTGCGACCAAGCTTTAACTTCCTGACTGATGTCTTGAGATGTTGCTTCAATATATCCACATAATTTTCTTTCCTCATAATGCCATCTATTTTGTGAAGTGCACCAGTCCCTCCTGCAGCAAAGCACCCCCACAGCATGATGCTGCCACCCCCGTGCTTCACGGTTGGGATGGTGTTCTTCTTTTTGCAAGTCCCCCTTTTTTCCTCCAAACATAACGATGGTCATTATGGGCAAACATTTATCCAAAAAGTAAGATCTTTGTCCCCATGTGCAGTTGCAAACCTTAGTCTGGATTTTTTTATGGCGGTTTTGGAGCAGTGGCTTCTTCCTTGCTGTGCGGCCTTTCAGGTTATGTTGATATAGGACTAGTTTTACTGTGGATATAGATACTTTTGTACCTGTTTGCTGTTGTTCTGGGACTGGAATTGTGATACAGTGAATTATAAGTGAAATAATCTGTCTGTAAACAATTGTTGGAAAAATTACTTGTGTCATGCACAAAGTAGATGTCCTAACCGACTTGCCAAAACTATAGTTTGTTAACAAGACATTTGTGGAGTGGTTGAAAAATGAGTTTTAATGAGTTTTAGTGACTCCAACCTAAGTGTATGTAAACTTCCGACTTCAACTGTAAATGGAATATGAGACATAGACAAACCAGAGATGTCTTGTGCCGTTTCATCTTTAGTTTTTGAAACTTCCATCCGTATCTCATTCATTTGTTTCTGCAGTTCAATAATCTTCAGAACTGAAAGAACAGAACAGAACAGAAAGTCACTGTGTAATTTCATACTAACATCAAATACTGGTATTTAACTTTTTAGAAGATTATAAATGTTTAATTATTATTTTATAAATACTCTTGTCAACATACTTTGTTCTGCGTTTTTGGCATCCACAGCCCTCAGGTGTGTAGTGTTGTCTTCAAGCTGTTTTCTCTTCTCCTTCAGTAGACTCTGTATATCTGAGGAGGAAAGACATTTATTTACAGTGCATTCAGAAAGTATTAAGACCCTTTGACTTTTCCCACATTTTGTTATGTTACAGCCTTCTAAAATTGATTAAATAGTTTTTACCCTCATCTACACACACAATACCCCATAATGACAAAGCAAAAACAGGTTTTTAGAAATGTTTGCAAATGTATTAAAAATAAAAAACGGAAATATCACATTTACATAAGTATTCAGACCATTTACTCAGTACTTTGTTGAAGCACCTTTGGCAGCGATTACAGTCTTCTTGGGTATGACGCTACAAGCTTGGCACACCTGTATTTGGGGAGTTTCTCCCTTTCTTCTCTGTAGATCCTCTCAAGCTCTGTCAGGTCTGATGCGGAGCGTCCTGCACAGCTATATTCAGGTCTCTCCAGAGATGTTCGATCATGTTCAAGTCCGGGCTCTGGTTGGGCCACTCAAGGACATTCAGAGACTTGTCCCGAAGCCACTCCTGCGTTGTCTTGACCGTGTGCTTAGGGTCGTTGTCCTATTGGAAGGTGCGTTGATGAGCAGGTTTTCATCAAGGATCTCTCTGTACTTTGCTCCGTTAATCTTTCCCTCGATCCTGACTAGTCTCCCAGTCCCTGCCGCTTAAAAACATACCCACAGCATGATGCTGCCACCACCAAGCTTTACCGTAGGGATGGTGCCACTGTGACGAAGTGAAAATCTTAGAGTTTCCATCAACCTCGCTCGCACTGCGTGCAATGTAGATACCAAAGACCACCACAGTTTGCATGCAGAGTAGCGTGTGCAACTATTCACTTCAGAAAAAGGTGTGATATAAATAAGTTTCCTTTCATTATGTGTTGTCGAATTCATAAAAATATTTGCTGCCATTGCATTAAGGTTGGCAATACGAGAGGTCTTCAGACTCACCATTTTTGTATTATTTTCCTTGAAAGAACAACTAGTGAGTTTTGAGTGCTTCTCCCCTATTTGGAAAGTTGGTCTGGCTGCTCTTCAGTCTGAGAGAGATATTCTGAGAGCAGGTTTGTGTCGCCTTCCTTTGTACATTATAAACTGTTTAAAACTGTATAACACAATTGTGTCTTTTGAAAACGGGTTCATATATCTTAAAGTCAATAGCGAATGTGACTATGTATATATTTATGTTGCCGTTAATGTATTTAAAGCCTATTTCGGCAAGTTAACCAAGTTTTTGTTGGCTTAGCTAGCCATGTTAATGACGCGCTAACTAGCACCGTCAGTCACCGTCACTGTAATGTCACACTAGCTATTGCTAGCAGGTAATTTGTTGAAATATTAAGTGAATGTTTATTTTCTTACTACCTTAAAAGGTTTGTATAAAAACGGTTGTACTTGTGCTCTGTATTTATGGATTGATGTCACATCACATTGAGGGCATGTATTATTACTGTTGCTCCTATCTAAAATATATCTCGTGTCCTACCTAAACAGTGAATGTGTAGCTGTGACTGTCCTGTCAATCCCTGTCATCACGGTTTGATATCTTTTACTGCAGATAAAATCCAAGTCAACCTGAAGTGTGGGTGTCTGTGTGTCTTTCTTCTGGGTGACTACAGTGGGGGAAAAAAGTATTCAGTCAGCCACCAATTGTGCAAGTTCTCCCACTTAAAAAGATGAGAGAGGCCTGTAATTTTCATCATAGGTACACGTCAACTATGACAGACAAATTGAGAAATAAATTCTAGAAAACCACATTGTAGGATTTTTAATGAATTTATTTGCAAATTATGGTGGAAAATAAGTATTTGGTCACCTACAAACAAGCAAGATTTCTGGCTCTCACAGACCTGTAACTTCTTCTTTAAGAGGCTCCTCTGTCCTCCACTCGTTACCTGTATTAATGGCACCTGTTTGAACTTGTTATCAGTATAAAAGACACCTGTCCACAACCTCAAACAGTCACACTCCAAACTCCACTATGGCCAAGACCAAAGAGCTGTCAAAGGACACCAGAAACAAAATTGTAGACCTGCACCAGGCTGGGAAGACTGAATCTGCAATAGGTAAGCAGCTTGGTTTGAAGAAATCAACTGTGGGAGCAATTATTAGGAAATGGAAGACATACAAAACCACTGATAATCTCCCTCGATCTGGGGCTCCACGCAAGATCTCACCCCGTGGGGTCAAAATGATCACAAGAACGGTGAGCAAAAATCCCAGAACCACACGGGGGGACCTAGTGAATGACCTGCAGAGAGCTGGGACCAAAGTAACAAAGCCTACCATCAGTAACACACTACGCCGCCAGGGACTCAAATCCTGCAGTGCCAGACGTGTCCCCCTGCTTAAGCCAGTACATGTCCAGGCCCGTCTGAAGTTTGCTAGAGTGCATTTGGAGGATCCAGAAGAGGATTGGGAGAATGTCATATGGTCAGATGAAACCAAAATAGAACTTTTTGGTAAAAACTCAACTCGTCGTGTTTGGAGGACAAAGAATGCTGAGTTGCATCCAAAGAACACCATACCTACTGTGAAGCATGGGGGTGGAAACATCATGCTTTGGGGCTGTTTTTCTGCAAAGGGACCAGGACGACTGATCCGTGTAAAGGAAAGAATGAATGGGGCCATGTATCGTGAGATTTTGAGTGAAAACCTCCTTCCATCAGCAAGGGCATTGAAGATGAAACGTGGCTGGGTCTTTCAGCATGACAATGATCCCAAACACACCGCCCGGGCAACGAAGGAGTGGCTTCGTAAGAAGCATTTCAAGGTCCTGGAGTGGCCTAGCCAGTCTCCAGATCTCAACCCCATAGAACATCTTTGGAGGGAGTTGAAAGTCCGTGTTGCCCAGCGACAGCCCCAAAACATCACTGCTCCAGAGGAGATCTGCATGGAGGAATGGGCCAAAATACCAGCAACAGTGTGTGAAAACCTTGTGAAGACTTACAGAAAACGTTTGACCTGTGTCATTGCCAACAAAGGGTATATGACAAAGTATTGAGAAACTTTTGTTATTGACCAAATACTTATTTTCCACCATAATTTGCAAATAAATTCATTAAAAATCCTACAATGTGATTTTTTGGATTTTTTTTTCTCATTTTGTCTGTCATAGTTGACGTGTACCTATGATGAAAATTACAGCCCTCTCTCATCTTTTTAAGTGGGAGAACTTGCACAATTGGTGGCTGACTAAATACTTTTTTCCCCACTGTATATGAAGTTGGTTACACCAGGTTTTTCCAGACGTGACGCTTGACATTCAAGCCTAAGAGTTCAATTTTGGTTCCATCAGACCAGAGAATCTTGTTTCTCATGGTCTGAGAGTCCTTTAGGTGCCTTTTGGCAAATTCCAAGCAGGCTGTCATGTGTCTTTTACTGAGGAGTGGCTTCCGTCTGGCCACTCTTCCATAAAGGCCTGTTTGGTGAAGTGCTGCAGAGATGGTTGTCCTTCTGGAAGGTTCTCTATCTCCACAGAGGAAATCTGGAGCTCTGTCAGAGTGACCATTGGGTTCTTGGTCACCTCCCTGACCAAGGCCCTTCTCCCCCGATTGCTCAGTTTGGCCAGGTGGCCAGCTCTATGAAGAGTCTTGGTGGTTCCAAACTTCTTCCATTTAAGAATGATGGAGGCCACTGTGTTCTTGGGGACCTTCAATGCTGCAGAAATGTTTGGGTACCATTCCCCAGATCTTTGCATCAACACAATCCTGTCTCAGAGCTCTATGGACAATTCCTTTGACCTCATGGCTTGGTCTTTGCTCTGACATGCACTGTCAACTGTGGGTCCTTATATAGACAGTTGTGTGCCTTTCCAAATCATGTCCAATCAACTGAATTTACCACAGGTGGACTCCAATCAAGTTGTAGAAACATCTGAAGGATGCTTAATGGAAACAGGATGCACCTGAGGTCAATTTTGAGTCTCATAGCAAAGGGTCTGAATACTTATGTAAATGAGGTATTTCTGTTTTTTATTAGTAAGAAATTAGCAAAAATGTCTAAACCTGTTTTTGCTTTGTCATTATGGTGTAATGTCTGTCGATTGATGAGGATTTTTAGTTATTTAATCAATTTTAGAATAAGGCTGTAACATAACAAAATGTGAAAAAGTCAAGGGGTCTGAATACTTTCCAAATGCACTGTACATTTTATATCTTACCAATTACAATGTCCCCTGTGTTAAGATAGCGTCCACTTTAAACTCAATTTTGTATTTGCATCAACCCAACAAGACTTTCAATAGTATTTGAATGAAGCCCAAATTACCTTCGATCTTGTCAGCACTTGTCTGTTTGAGCTCTGATAATGTTCTCTCTAACTCTGTCACTTTGTTACGAAGTCCCATGATCTCTGCAACTGAAAAAGAAAAGCACGCCACTCTGGATGAAGCATTCAGAAACCGTAGAAATTATTGACTTGTAGATAAACTCCTGGAAACATGCTTGACAACTTACTGAGTTGTGGAATTCTACTGCCTGTTTCTTTCAGCTCCTCTTTCTTTTCATTCAGCTGTTCTCTCGTCTCCTGTAGTTGATTCTCTAGCTCTATGAGACACAAACATTATTTCAAATGTTCTCCTCTTTCCACCACAAAGTTTTCTATTACACGGTATGCCTACAAAAAGCTCTTAGTGGTGAATATAAGGATAATAAACTCTCCAGCGTGACTTTAAGACTATTACTGAGGATAAAGAAAAATTACAATAGCACTCACCAGCAATCTTGCCCTCAGATGTCTGATTGAACTCTAATTCTTGCCTCTGTAATCTTGTGACTTGATTTTGGAGTGCAATGATCTGCAAAACTAAATGAGCAGGGGGATGCAGGATGTCACAACATTCAACATTTGAAGTAAAGTAGAATATCCAAATCACGATAGCAGCCAACCCAGAAATGATTAGGCTTTTCAAACTCACTTTGTTTACAGTTTCCATTGTTCTTCTCCTCGATTGTGGCAATCAATTCATCCAGTTCATTCTCAAGCGCTGTGGACAAGAATAATTGAAGAGCTTGAATGTTACAAGCATAATGGGATTGTAAAACTCCATGAATGGGCAAAATCCAGTGTATTTCCATCACACCATCCTATATGTCTACCAGTGAAGGACTATCCCTTTGAGGAAACATGATAACTATTTGTATTGGTCTTACGTGCTGAACACACAGTGACTCCTATGTTCTTCAGAACACCTGCTACTCACCAGCAATCTGGTCAAAGTTTGTCCCGTTGGTAAATCCTTTCTGCAGGTTCAAGATCTCATTCTGTATTGCAATGATCCTTAGAACTGAAAAAAAAAACTAAACAGTTTGAGGAATATCATATACAGAGAAATACTGAGCAGGCTGGGCCTAAATGGTAAAAGCTGTCTGTTCAACTGAAAACAGACTCTATAATGGCAAAGGCTAAATAAAACTCACCATTCTCTGGTTGAGGAGCATTATCCTCCAGTTCCTGTGTTTTCTTTGCCAGTTCTTTGATCTTCTCATCCAGCAACTTCTGGAGCTCTGAAAGACGAGGAAAAACCATGACGGGATCAAGGCTAACATATCTAGAACTTTAGAAACAAACATTGTTATAGTGCAGACACTATATAAATTAACTGCAGTATAGTATTATTACTATTCATGGGGGCATGGTTATTATGGACATTGGTGTTGACCGTGACCTTTATCCTCCTGTTATGTCATCACCCAGAGTTGGCTCAGTATTCAACGGGACACTACCTAATGTTGAGTTGGGTATTTAGCTCTTCTGTATTCTACTGTTTGTACAGGGCTGTACCCCTTTATTTTGTAATTTACAAGTAAAGGCAATGAACATTGAAACGCATGTGGTAATCCTTAAGAACGGAGGAGCACCTCCGCAATTGGAACAGCTCGTAGGTGTAACCGGGGCTATCAGAAGTTGAAACACACAGGGAACATCTCGGAGGAACAGGGCATTCAGTGGCTCCAGAGAGGGTGATGGACTGTCTCTTACAAACACCTGACCCACTCCTATGCCCTCAGACCCTAGTGGGACACCAGGAATACTGCGCAGATCACAGCGTAGTCACAAGTCTCCTGACAGACTGACTCTATAGTTGAGACTAGGAGACTCATGGTGTTAATTTTTGAACAGTAGACATACAGTCGTGGTCAAAAGTTTTGAGAATGACACAGATACTAATTTTCACTAAGTCTGCTGCCTCAGTTTTGATGATGGCAATTTGCATATACTCCAGAATGTCATGAAGAGGGATCAGATGAATTGCAATGAATTGCAAAGTCCCTCTTTGCCATGAAAATTAACTTAATCCCCCAAAAACATTTCCACTGTATTTCAGCCCTGCCACAAAAGGACCAGCTGACATCATGTCAGTGATTCTCTCGTTAACACGGGTGAGAGTGTTGACGAGGACAAGGCTGGAGATCACTCTGTCATGCTGATTTAGTAAGAAACACGTGCCGTCATCATTGCTTTGCACAAAAAGGGCTTCACAGGCAAGGATATTGCTGCTAGTAAGATTGCACCTAAATCAACCATTTATCGGATCATCAAGAACTTCAAGGAGAGAGGTTCAATTGTTGTGAAGAAGGCGTCAGGGCGCCCAAGAAAGTCCAGCAAGCGTCAGGACCGTCTCCTAAAGTTGATTCAGCTGCGGGATCGGGGCACCACCAGTGCAGAGCTTGCTCAGGAATGGCAGCAGGCAGGTGCGAGTGCATCTGCACGCACAGTGAGGCGAAGACTTATGGAGGATGGCCTGGTTCAAGAAGGGCAGCAAAGAAGCCCCTTCTTTCCAGGAAAAACGTCAGGGACAGACTGATATTCTGCAAAAGGTACAGGGATTGGACTACTGAGGACTGGGGTAAAGTCATTTTCTCTGATGAATCCCCTTTCCGATTGTTTGGGGCATCCGGAAAACACCTTGTCCAGAGAAGACAAGGTGAGCGCTACCATCAGTCCTGTGTCATGCCAACAGTAAAGCATCCTGAGACCATTCATGTGTGGGGTTGCTTCTCAGCCAAGGGAGTGGGCTCACTCACAATTTTGCCTAAGAACACAGCCATGAATAAAGAATAGTACCAACACATCCTCTGAGAGCAACTTCTCCCAACCATCCAAGAACAGTTTGGTGACGACCAATGCCTTTTCCAGCATGATGGAGCACCTTGCCATAAGACAAAAGTGATAACTAAGTGGCTCAGGGAACAAAACATCAACATTTTGGGTCCATGGCCAGGAAACTCCCCAGACCTTAATCCCATTGAGAACTTGTGGTCGATCCTCAAGAGGCGGGTGGACAAACAAAAACCCACAAATTCTGACAAACTCCAAGCATTGATTATGCAAGAATGGGCTGCCATCAGTCAGGATGTGGCCCAGAAGTTAATTGACAGCATGCCAGGGCGGATTGCAGAGGTCTTGAAAAAGAAGGGTCAACACTGCAAATATTGACTCTTTGCATAAACTTAATGTAATTGTAAATAAAAGCATTTGATACTTATGGAATGCTTGAAATTATACATCAGTATACCATAGTAACATCTGACAAAAATATCTCATAACACTGAAGCAGCGAACTTTGTGAAGACCAATACTTGTGTCATTCTCAAAACTTTTGACCACGACTGTAGTTGAAAGAAAAATATCTGTGGTCTTTGTTTGTTTACAGTTGCAGTAACACTAGTACAAGTTCTAAAGTATTGTGAAAAAAGAAGAGGAAACACTGTTGTTGTTTAGTTGTTGTCTTGTATACTTAATGTATTTTCTTCACAGGGGGATTGAAATGAAGGGGGGAGAAGTGTTATAGTGTGGAACTACAGTTGAAGTCGGAAGTTTATATACACTTAGGTTGGAGTCATTAAAACTCGTTTTTCAACCACTCCACAAATGTCTTGTTAACAAACTATAGTTTTGGCAAGCCGGTTAGGACATCTAATTTGTGCATGACACAAGTAATTTTTCCAACAATTGTTTACAGACAGATTATTTCACTTGTAATTCACTGTATCACAACTCCAGTGGGTCAGAAGTTTACATACACTAAGTTGACTGTGCCTTTAAACAGCTTGGAAAATTCCAGAAAATGATGTCATGGCTTTAGAAGCTTCTGATAGGCCAATTGACATCATTTGAGTCAATTGGAGGTGTACCTGTGGATGTATTTCAAGGCCTACCTTCAAACTCTGTGCCTCTTTGCTTGACATCATGGGAAAATCAAAAGAAATCAGACAAGACCTCAGAAAAAAATGGTAGACCTCCACAAGTCTGGTTCATCCTTGGGAGCAATTTCCAAACGCCTGAAGGTACCGTGCCACGTTCATCTGTACAAACAATAGTACGCAAGTATAAACACCATGGGACCACGCAGCCGTCATACCGCTCAGGAAGGAGACACGTTCTGTCTCCTAGAGATGAACGTAATTTGGTGCAAAATTTGCAAATCAATCCCAGAACAACAGCAAAGGACCTTGTGAAGATGCTGGAGGAAACAGGTACTAAAGTATCTATATCCACAGTAAAATGAGTCCTATATTGACATAACCTGAAAGGCCGCACAGCAAGGAAGAAGCCACTGCTCCAAAACCGCCATAAAAAAGCCAGACTATGGCTTACAACTGCACATGGGGACAAAGATCGTACTTTCTGGAGAAATGTCCTCTGGTCTGATGAAACAAAAATAGAACTGTTTGGCCATAATGACCATCGTTATGTTTGGAGGAGAAAGGGGGCTGCTTGCAAGCCGAAGAACACCATCCCAACTGTGAAGCACGGGGGTGGCAGCATCATGCTGTGGGGGTGCTTTGCTGCAGGAGGGACTGGTGCACTTCACAAAATAGATGGCATCATGAGGAAGGAAAATGATGTGGATATATTGAAGCAACATGTCAAGACATCAGTCAGGAAGTTAAAGCTTGGTCGCAAATAGGTCTTAAAAATGGACAATGACCCCAAGCATACTTTCAAAGTTGTGGCAAAATGGCTTAAGGACAACAAAGTCAAGGTATTGGAGTGGCCATCACAAAGCCCTGACCTCAATCCTATACAAAATTTGTGGGCAGAACTGAAAAAGCGTGTGCGAGCAAGGAGGCCTACAAACCTGACTCAGTTACACCAGCTCTGTCAGGAGGAATGTGCCAAAATTCACCCAACTTATTGTGGGAAGCTTGTGGAAGGCTACCCGAAACGTTTGACCCAAGTTAAACAATTTAAAGGCAATGCTACCAAATACTAATTGAGTGTATGTAAACTTCTGACCCACTGGGAATGTGATGAAATAAATAAAAGCTGAAATAAGTCACTCTCTACTATTATTCTGACATTTCACATTCGTAAAATAAAGTGGTGATCCTAACTGACTTAAGACAGGGAATTTTTACTAGGATTAAATGTCAGGAATTGTGAAAAACTGAGTTTAAATGTATTTGGCTAAGGTGTATGTAAACTTCCAACTTCAACTGTATATGAATAATTCTTACTGAATAGGTGGTGGACTTAACTGCAGTATAGTATTATTACTATTCATGGGAGCATGGTTATTATGGACATTGGTGTTGACTGTGACCTTTACCCTCATGTGATGTCATCACCAAGAGTTGGCTCAGTATTCAAAGGGACACTACCTAATGTTGAGTTGGGTTTTTCGCTCTCCTGCTTTCTACCGTTTGTACAGGGCTGTACCCCTTTATTTTGTAGTTTACAAGTAAAGGCAAAAAACATTGAAACGCATGTGGATAATACTTGTAATGTTACCACAAACATGATTTGCTATGAATAATGAGCGGCAACAGGGATACTCACCATTGATCTTAGCTGCGGAAGTCACAGTTCTCTTCTTTAGATCATCTACCTCATTAGTCAGCGTCCATACCTCAAGAACTGACAGAACACATTGAAATGAGCGGAGTAGTTTTCTGAATCAGAAAAATAAACAAGACTACTCAACTCATTCATCTGTGAGCACTGATGTACATTTATCCACTCACCGAGTTTGTCGTTGTATCCAGTTACATTGTCCAGTTTATTCATTGCAGCACCAAGCTTATCTTGCAGACCTGTGAGAGACCAATACAAATCAGCTTTTAACTAGGTTCTATTGAATAGGGTTCTATTATTTCGATCACTCAGTGTCATCAGCAAAAGGTAGAGAGGGGTGAAGCTCACTGTCATATCTGTCCTGGATATGTGCATCCTTATCGCCCAGCCTCTTCTCCAGGTCTGGTTTGAGAAAGAAATATTAGACTGATGAGATGTGTGCTTCTGTTTCTTTACCTGTAGTTGTGATTCAAGCAGCTATGCTCACCAAGCGTCTAGTTACACAAACTGGTGAACCAGACTAATATTACATTTTTACATTTTAGTCATTTAGCAGACACTCTTATCCAGAGCGACTTACAGTTAGTGAGTGCATACATTTTTCATACTGGACCCCCGTGGGAATTGAACCCACAACCCTGGCGTTGCAAGCGCCATGCTCTACCAACTGAGCTACAGGAGGGCTGTATATAATATCAGAAGAACCTGATCTTGGCTTACCTTTGTTCTGGGCCTGACATCTGGCGCTCTCTTCCTCTCTGGCCTGTAGTTGTTCCTGAAGCGCTGTAATTCAAGCACTAATGTTAGCATATTGCTACATATATTCGTTACATCATGATGACTATACATAACAATTTCTCAAAACCCATTTTTAACACTATTCAACCTGTGATATTTTGATGATTATACATAAGTGGAACATGAGACAAAATAGACAAACCAGAGATTTCTGCTGCAGTTTCATCTTTTGAAGCTTCAATCCGTATCTCATTCATTTGTTTCTGGAGTTCAATGATCTTCAGAACTGAAAGAACAGAACAAAAAGGCACTGTGTAATTCAACACTAACATCATATAATGGTATTCGACTTTTTAGAAGATTATAAATGTTGAATGACTTCTAATAACTACTCTTGTTAACATACTCTGTTGTGCATTTTTGGCATCCACAGCCCTCAGTTGTGTAGTGTTGTCTTCAAGCTGCTTGCTCTTCTGCTTCAGTAGACTCTGTAGCTCTGAGGAGGAAAGACCCCTTCACCTTTTACACATTTTGTGACGTTACAGCCTTATTCAAAAACTCTACACACAATACCCCATAATGACAAAGCAAAAACAGGTTTTTAGAAATGTTTGCAAATATATATTTTTAAAACTGAAATATTACATTTACATAAGTATTCAGACCTTTTACTCAGTACTTTGTTGAAGCACCTTCGGCAGCGATTACAGCCTCGAGTCTTCTTGGGTATGACGCTACAAGCTTGGCACACCTGTATTTGGGGAGTTTCTCTTTTTCTTCTCTGCAGATCCTCTCAAGCTCTTTCAGGTTGGATGCGGAGCGTCGCTGCACAGCTATTTTCAGGTCTCTCCAGAGATGTTAGATCGGGTTTAAGTCCGGGCTCTGGCTGGGCCACTCAAGGACATTCAGGGACTTGTCCCGAAGCCACTCCTGCGTTGTCTTGGCTGTGTGCTTAGGGTTGTTGTCCTGTTGGAAGGTAAACCTTTGCTCCAGTCTGAGGTCCTGAGCGCTGTGGAGCAGGTTTTCATCAAGGATCTCTCTGTACTTTGATCTGTTCATCTTTCCCTCGATCCTGACTAGTCTCCCAGTCCCTGCCGCTTAGAAACATCCCCACAGCATGATAATGCCACCACCATGCTTTTTCCGTAGGGATGGTTTCGGCCAGGTGATGAGCGGTACCTGGTTTCCTCCAGAGATGGCACTTGGCATTCAGGCCAAATAGGTCAATCTTGGTTTCATCAGTCCAGAGAATCTTGTTTCTCATTGTCTGAGAGTCCTTTAGGTGCCTATTGGCAAACTCCAAGTGGGCTGTGTTGTGACTTTTACTGAGGAGTGGCTTCCGTCTGGCCACTCTACCTTAAAGGCGTGATTGGTGGAGTGCTATAGAGATGGTTGTCCTTCTGGAAGGTTCGCCCATCTCCACAAAGGAACTCTGGAGCTCTTACAGAGTGACTATGGGTTCTTGGTCACCTCCCTGACCAAGGCCCTTCTCCCCCGATTGCTCAATTTGGTCCGGCGGCCAGCTCTTGGAAGAGTCTTTGTGGTTCCAAACTTCTTCCATTTAAGAATGATGGTGGCCACTGTGTTCTTGGGGACCTTAAATGCTGCAGAAATGTTTTTGTACCCTTCCCCTGATCTGTTCCTCGACACAATCCTGTCTCGGAACTCTACGGACAATTACTTCGACCTGAAGGCTTGGTTTTCGCTCTGACATGCACTGTCAACTGTTGGTCCTTATATACACTACCGGTCAAAATGTTTAGAACACCTACTCATTCAAGGGATTTTCTTTATTTTTGCTATTTTCTACATTGTAGAATAATAGTGAATACATCAAAACTGTGAAATAACACATGTGGAATAATGTAGTACCCAAAACAGTGTTAAACAAATCTTAATATATTTTATATTTGAGATTCTTCAAATAGCCACCCTTTGCCTTGATGACAGCTTTGCAAACTCTCGGCATTCTCTCAACCAACTTCACCTGGAATGCATTTCCAACAGTCTTGAAGGAGTTCCCACATATGATGAGCACTGGTTGGCTGCTTTTCCTTCACTCTCCGATCCGACTCATCACAAACCATCTCAATTTGGTTGAGGTCGGGGGATTGTGGAGGCCGGGTCATCTGATGCAGCACTCCATCACTCTCCTTCTTGGTAAAATAGCTCTTACACAGGCTGGAGGAGTGTTGGGTCATTGTCTTGATGAAAAACAAATTATAGCCCAAACCAGATGGGATGGCGTATCGCTGCAGAATGCTGTGGTAGCTATGCTGGTTAAGTGTGCCTTGAATTCTAAATAAATCACAGACAGTGTCCCCAGCAAAGCACCCCCACACCAGCTAAGCACCCCACACAATAACACCTCCTCTTCCATGCTTTACGGTGGGAAATACACATGCGGTTGGAACCAAAAATCTCAAATTTGGACTCCAGACCAAAGGACAAATTTCCACCGGTCTAATGTCCATTGCTCGTGTTTCTTGGCCCAAGCAAGTCTCTTCTTCTTATTGGTGTCCTTTAGTAGTGGTTTCTTTGCAGCAATTCAACCATAAAGGCATGATTCACACAGTCTCCTCTGAACAGTTGATGTTGAGATGTGTCTGTTACTTGAACTGTGTGAAGCATTTATTTGGGCTGCAATTTCTGAGGCTGGTAACTCTAATGAACTTATCCTCTGCAGCAGAGGTAACTCTGGGTCTTCCTTTCCTGTGGCGGTCCTCATGAGAGCCAGTTTCATCATAGCGCTTGATGGCATTTGCGACTGCACTTAAAGACATTTTAAAAGTTCTTGAAATGTTCGGTATTGACTGACCCTCATGTCTTAAAGTAATGATGGACTGTTATTTGTCTTTGCTTATTTGAGCTGTTCTTGGCATAATATGGACTTGGTCTTTTACCAAATAGGGCTACCTTGTCACAACACAACTGATTGGCTCAAATGCATTAAGAAGGAAATAAATTCCACAAATTAACTTTTAAGAAGGCACACCTGTTAATTGAAATGCATTCCAGGTGACTACCTCATGAAGCTGGCTAAGAGAATGCCAATAGTGTGCAAAGCTGTCATCAAGGCAAAGAGTGGCTATTTGAAGAATCTCAAATATAAAATATACTTTTTTGGTTACTACATGATTCCATATCTGTTATTTCATAGTTTTGATGTCTTCACTATTATTCTAGAATGTAGAAAATAGTACAAATAAAGAAAAACCCTTGAATGAGTAGCTGTTCTAAAACTTTTGACCGGTAGTGTAGACAGGTGTGTGCCTTTCCAAATCATGTCCAATCAATTGACTTTACCACAGGTGGACTCCAATCAAGTTGTAGAAACATCTCAAGGATGATCGATGGAAACAGGATGCACCTGAGGTTAATTTTGCGTCTCATAGGAAGGGGTCTAAATAGTTATGTAAATCAGGTGGTTATGTTTTTTATTTTGAATACATTTGAAAAAAAATCTTTTTTTTTTTTTTTCTCTTTGTCATTATGGGGTATTGTGTGTAGATTGATGAGGAATGTTTTGTATTGAATCAATTTTAGAATAAGGCTGCAACGTAACAAAATGTGGAAAAAGTGAAGGGGTCTGAATACTTTCCGACTGCACTGTATCTTACCAATTATAATCTCCCCTGTGTTAAGATAGCGTCCACTTTAAACAAAATGTTTTATTTGAATCAACGCAACAAGACTTTCAATAGTATTTCAATGAAGCACAAATTACCTTCGATCTTGTCAGCACTTGTCTGTTTGAGCTCTGATAATGTTCTCTCTAACTCTGTCACTTTGTTACGAAGTCCCATGATCTCTGCAGCTAAAAAAGAAAAGCACGCCACTCTGGATGAAGCATTCAGAAATAGATGTCAGTTTCCAAAAAATGTAGAAATTATTGACTTCTAGATTCTAGATAAACTCCTGGAAACATGCTTGACAACTTACTGAGTTGTGGAATTCTACTGCCTGTTTCTTTCAGCTCCTCTTTCTTTTCATTCAGCTGGTCTCTCGTCTCCTGTAGTTGATTCTCTAGCTCTATGAGACACAAACATTATTTCAAATGTTCTCCTCTTTCCACCACAAAGTTTTCTATTACACGGTATGCCTACAAAAAGCTCTTAGTGGTGAATATAAGGATAATAAACTCTCCAGCGTGACTTTAAGACTATTACTGAGGATAAAGAAAAATTACAATAGCACTCACCAGCAATCTTGGCCTCAGATGTCTGAATGAACTCTAATTCTTGCCTCTGTAATCTTGTGACTTGATTTTGGAGTGAAATTATCTGCAGAACTAAATGAGCAGGGAGATGCAGGATGTCACAACATTCAACATTAAGTAAAGTAGAATATTCATCTCATGATAGCAGCCAACCCAGAAATGATTAGGCTTTTCAAACTCACTTTGTTTACAGTTTCCATTGTTCTTCTCCTCGATTGTGGCAATCAATTCATCCAGTTCATTCTCAAGCGCTGTGGACAAGAATAATTGAAGAGCTTGAATGTTACAAGCATAATGGGATTGTAAAACTCCATGAATGGGCAAAATCCAGTGTATTTCCATCACACCATCCTATATGTCTACCAGTGAAGGACTATCCCTTTGAGGAAACATGATAACTATTTGTATTGGTCTTACGTGCTGAACACACAGTGACTCCTATGTTCTTCAGAACGCCTGCTACTCACCAGCAATCTGGTCAAAGTTTGTCCCATTGCTAACTCCTTTCTGCAGGTTCAATATCTCATTCTGTATTGCTATGATCCTTAGAACTGCAACAAACAAACACCTTAACAATTTGAGGAATATCATATACAGAGAAATACTGAGCAGGCTGGGCCTAAATGATAAAAGCTGTCTATTCAACTGAAAACAGACTCTATAATGGCAAAGGCTAAATAAAACTCACCATTCTCTGGTTGAGGAGCGTTATCCTCCAATTCCTGTGTTTTCTTTGCCAGTTCTTTGGTCTTCTCATCCAGCAACTTCTGGAGCTCTGAAAGACGAGGAAAAATCATGACTGGATCAACGCCAACATATCTAGGTCTTTAGAAACAAACATGATTTGCTATGAATAAGGAGCGGCAACAGGGATACTCACCATTGATCTTAGCTGCAGAAGTCACAGTTCTCTTCTTAAGATCGTCTACCTCATTAGTCAGCGTCCATACCTCAAGAACTGACAGAACACATTGAAATGAGCTGAGTAACGAGACTACTCGACTCATTCATCTGTGAGCACTGATGTACATTTATCCACTCACCGAGTTTGTCGTTGTATCCAGTTACATTGTCCAGTTTATTCATTGCAGCACCAAGCTTATCTTGCAGACCTGTGAGAGACCAATACAAATCAGCTTTTAACTAGGTTCTATTGAATAGGGTTCTATTATGTCGATCACTCAGTGTCATCAGCAAAAGGTAGAGAGGGGTGAAGCTCACTGTCATATCTGTCCTGGAGTCCAGAGCACTGTGCATCCTTATCGCCCAGCCTCTTCTCCAGGTCTGGTTTGAGAAAAAAATATTAGACTGATGAGATGTGTGCTTCTGTTTCTTTACCTGTAGTTGTGATTCAAGCAGCTATGCTCACCAAGCGTCTAGTTACACAAACTGGTGAACCAGACTAATATCAGAAGAACCTGATCTTGGCTTACCTTTGTTCTGGGCCTGACATCTGGCGCTCTCTTCCTCTCTGGCCTCTAGTTGTTCCTGAAGCGCTGTAATTCAAGCACTAATGTTAACATATTGTTACATATATTAGGTACATATTCAAAGAGTGTATGAGACATATTTCAATAGGTTCATGATATCTTAAATAATCAACAAAATTGTGATATATCTATTATGCTTGATAAAGTCCAAACACACCATTAACATCAGCAGCAGTTTCATTGAATTGCTGAGATGCAGCATTTTGTATGTCTCTGAGTTTCCATTGTAGATGAAGAATTTGCATAACTACGAGTACAAAAAAAGGAAAGAGTTGTGAGTTACAGTATTTTAAAGTGGCACTAAATAAATAAACTGTATCATGGAACTTTTAGATAAGTCTTTGTTCTGTTGAGAACCAGGTAAAAAAATAATTTAAGCAGCATGTCCACTATATTAAAACAGTTGTTGGCTATTTCAGGTTATTATAGTGTACTCACTCAGGTCAGAATCGTTGCTGTCTTTCTTCTTCAGTCTTTTTATATTCTCCTCAAGCTGCCTCTCCCTTTCCTTGAGCTGTGTTGTCAGCTCTGAGAGATGGAATTTAAAAGGTCATATCACAACCTGAGAAATCTGACTTCATCATAATTAATTACACTTTGGGCTCTTTTCAATCTGTATCGCTAAATCAATACAGATTGCGCGCTAGAAATCTAAAGGTAATTTCTGGTTGAGCCGACAGATGCAGCATTTACCATGAATGCTAACGCGGAACATTGCTTTTAAATTTCAATCAAGCTGTAACGCTGAATTTCCACAATACGGATTGAATAGAGCCCTTTATTTATATATACAGTGAGGGAAAAAAGTATTTGATCCCCTGCTGATTTTGTATGTTTGCCCACTGACAAAGACATGATCAGTCTATAATTTTAATGGTAGGTTTATTTGAACAGTGAGAGACAGAAAAACACAGATTTCTGGCTCCCAGGTGTCTTTTATACAGGTAACGAGCTGAGATTAGGAGCACACTCTTAAAGGGAGTGCTCCTAATCTCAGTTTGTTACCTGTATAAAAACACCTGTCCACAGAAGCAATCAATCAGATTCCAAACTCTCCACCATGGCCAAGACCAAAGAGCTCTCCAAGGATGTCAGGGACAAGATTGTAGACCTACACAAGGCTGGAATGGGCTACAAGACCATCGCCAAGCAGCTTGGTGAGAAGGTGACAACAGTTGGTGCGATTATTTGCAAATGGAAGAAACACAAAATAACTGTCAATCTCCCTTGGCCTGGGGCTCCATGCTAGATCTCACCTTGTGGAGTTACAATGATCATGAGAACGGTGAGGAATCAGCCCAGAACTACACGGGAGGATCATGTCAATGATCTCAAGGCAGCTGGGACCATAGTCACCAAGAAAACAATTGGTAACACACTACGCCGTGAAGGACTGAAATCCTGCAGCGCCTGCAAGGTCCCCCTGCTCAAGAAAGCACATATACAGGCCCGTCTGAAGTTTGCCAATGAACATCTGAATGATTCAGAGGAGAACTGGGTGTAAGTGTTGTGGTCCCAAGAACACCATCCCCACCGTCAAACATGGAGGTGGAAACGTTAGGCTTGGGGGGGGTTTCTGCTAAGGGGACAGGACAACTTCACCGCATCAAAGGGACGATGGACAGGGCCATGTACCGTCAAATCTTGGGTGAGAACCTCCTTCCCTCAGCCAGGGCATTGAAAATGGGTCGTGGATGGGTATTCCAGCATGACAATGACCCAAAACACACAGCCAAGGCAACAAAGGAGTGGCTCAAGAAGAAGCACATTAAGGTCCTGGAGTGGCCTAGCCAGTCTCCAGACCTTAATCCCATAGAAAATCTGTGGAGGGAGCTGAAGGTTCGAGTTGCCAAACGTCAGGCTCGAAACCTTAATGACTTGGAGAAGATCTGCAAAGAGGAGTGGGACAAAATCCATCCTGAGATGTGTGCAAACCTGGTGGCCAACTACAAGAAACGTCTGACCTCTGTGATTGCCAACAAGGGTTTTGCCACCAAGTACTAAGTCATGTTTTGCAGAGGGGTCAAATACTTATTTCCTACATTAAAATGCAAATCAATTAATAACATTTTTGACATGCGTTTTTCTGGGTTTTTTGGTTGTTATTCTGTCTCTCACTGTTCAAATAAACCTACCATTAAAATTATAGACTGATCATGTCTTTGTCAGTGGGCAAACATACAAAATCAGCAGGGGATCAAATACTTTTTTCCCTCACTGTATGACACAGTTTTAATGATATTACCAGTGATCTTGGCTTCAGGATTTGATTCTTTTAGCTCTGCTATTCTCTTTTCTATTTCACTTATTTGATTCTCAAGGTTTGACATTTTTGGACCTGAAATGAAAAATGAGATATAAATTAATTCTGGGTAACTGTCAGACATTACAAATAAAAAATGTTTGTCTCCTGAAGGAAACTGTGTCAGGGGGACGGATCCACTTAGTCTGTTCATCACCCTTTCCACTCTGCTCAATCAGCTTGGCCAACTGCTTCTTCTTTTCCTCCAACTGCTTCTCGAGCCCTACCAGAGATATGAAAAGGAAAAGGACCACCTGATAAACGAATACTTTTACGTAAAAGAGAAGTAACTTGAATCACATAAAATTGTGAATAGAGATGTCACTTACGAATTATCTGTGCTGCGGTAGACTGACTGAGGGCTGACAGCATTCTCTGTAGGTTGACCACCTCACTCTTTAATGTGGTTATCGTTAGAACTAAAACGTAGATGGAGAAGGAGATGAAAGACAGACAATCAATAAAGGTGTTGAGCTCCCATAATTTCATCTTGCCTGGAGTAAACATGACAAGCGCTACCATCACACCCACTGGGCACACCATTTCATTTCAACATGGAGAATTGGGTAATATTTTGTAGATACGTTGATCAATGAGATTCCAACCTATTTCACCCACTCAAAAAAGACTGCCAAAAGTTTATTGAATTACCAATGTGTTATCACTATGCTTTCAACCATCTAAAAGCACAACCAAATTCCAATGGAAAGTCAATGTTGGATTTTTGGTTTAGATGTCACCTGAATGTGTTATCACTGCTCTTTCAACCATTTAAAAGCACAAAAAAGTTCAAATGGCAATACAATGTCAGATATTTTGTTTATAACAACTTAATGTGTTATCACTGTTGTTAATCTAGTAGCACAACCAAATGACCTGTTTAGCAGTTAATATTACATTAATGTACATGTTGCAAATGATCAATGCCGTTTCAGATTCTGTACAGATTATTATAGCAAATGTGAAGATTTCCACAGACCTGTGACCCTAAACATGCACTCATTTTATGATTACATAAGAATACATGTATTGTTACAGTAACCTCAAAATGTGGCCATGGATGTCTTACTCATTTTAAAGTTGAATAAATACTGCTACATACAGTACATCAGTTTTAGGGTATTTACTGTCTTACAAAAGTAATATTGAATTGTGTTTAGTTGACAACGCAACCAAATATCAACATTAAAAAAATATGTATCTACTGCTTGGATAGTTAGATCTGAGCCCCTGGCTTAATCCTATTATTTTATTTCTTTAACTTGTATTTTTGGTTGAGATGGAGATGTGAATTCAACATATCATTTGTTAACTTGTTGACAAGTTAATAGGCTATTTACCATATTGCAAAAGTGATATTGAATTGTGTTTGTTTGTCAACGCAACCAAATATCAACATTTGAAGGAGACGTTTCTGCTGCTTGGATAGCTCCATCTGTGCCACTGAGTCTGGCTTTAATTCCAGTTTGTTTACAAAATAATAATTGATATGTTGGATTCATGTCTCAATTACAACCAAGCAACTGTGCACTGCCTCATGGGTCTCCCGGTCACGAAACAGCCTGGGATCGAACCTGGGTCTGTAGTGCCTTAGACCACTGCACCACTCGGGAGGCCCCCAGAGAAACTTACAGTAGTGAGTACATACATTTTCATACTAGTCCCCCGTGGGAATCAAACGCATAACCCTCGCATTGCAAGTGCCATGCTCTACCAACTGAGCTACATCATCACATCATCACAAACCACTTGATTCCTCAATGTACTCAATTACTGTATTGTGCATTGTTTATCTTCATGGTGATTGAAAGTACAAAACAGTAATGTACATTTACATTAGGTGGTTTGTAGGATGGTAAATGAATACTGTGGTTGTTTTCCATGTTATTTGATCAAGAACAATATTTAATGGGATGAGGATGTCTTGTGTTTTTGCTCATAACTTTGCACCTTTTGATGTAAATGTTTGAGGACAGTTTTTTTTTCTTTCTGGATTCCATTAGAATGACAATCACAGAGAAAGGGACAGGGCAACAACTCTTACAATTCCAACTATTGAATCCTGCAAGATACTGTTCTTAATTATACAACTACGTTTTTTGCCAAAGTGGAGATGCTGAAAAAAAAAGTTTGCCGTCACTACAGACATCTACATTGGTCCGCTAATCCCAGTAAAGGCCCAGTGCACTACGTTTGTAAAGAATTTTTTTTATATACAGTTGAAGTCAGAGGTTTACATACACCTTAGCCAAATACATTTAAACTCAGTTTTTTCACAATTCCTGACATTTAATCCAAGTAAAGATTCCCTGTCTTAGGTCAGTTAGGATCACCACTTTATTTTAAGAATGTGAAATGTCAGAATAATAGTAGAGAGAATTATTTATGTCACGATCGTCGAAAGGATTGGACCAATGCGCAGCGTGGAATGCGAACATACTTTATTATTATATTCACCACACGAACAAAAACAACAAAACGATACGTGAAGTCCTTGGGTACATACACAAACCAACACGGAACAAGATCCCACAAAACACAAGTGCCAAACGGCTGCCTAAGTATGGTTCCCAATCAGAGACAACAAGCAACAGCTGATTCACGTTGCCTCTGATTGAGGACCACCCCGGCCAACATAGAAACACATGAACTAGAAACTGAAACAATGAACACAAAACATAGACTCTACACACCCTGGCTCAACATAAAAGAGTCCCTAGAGCCAGGGCGTGACAATTTATTTAAGCTTTTATTTCTTTCATCACATTCCCAGTGGGTCAGAAGATTACATACACTCAATTAGTATTTGGTAGCATTGCCTTTAAATTGTTTAACTTGGGTCAAACGTTTCGGGTAGCCTTCCACAAGCTTCCCACAATAAGTTGGGTGAATTTTGGCACATTCCTCCTGACAGAGCTGGTGTAACTGAGTCAGGTTTGTAGGCCTCTTTGCTCGCACACGCTTTTTCAGTTCTGCCCACAAATTTTGTATAGGATTGAGGTCAGGGCTTTGTGATGGCCACTCCAATACCTTGACTTTGTTGTCCTTAAGCCATTTTGCCACAACTTTGGAAATATGCTTGGGGTCATTGTCCATTTGAAAGACCCATTTGCGACCAAGCTTTAACTTCCTTGCTGATGTCTTGACATGTTGCTTCAATATATCCACATCATTTTCCTTCCTCATGGCGTCATCTATTTTGTGAAGTGCACCAGTCCCTCCTGCAGCAAAGCGCCCCCAAAGCATGATGCTGCCACCCCCGTGCTTCACGGTTGGGATGGTGTTCTTCGGCTTGCAAGCAACCCCCTTTTTCCTCCAAACATAACGACGGTCATTTTGGCCAAACAGTTCTATTTTTGTTTCATCAGACCAGAGGACATTTCTCCACAAAGTACGATCTTTGTCCCCATGTGCAGTTGCAAACTGTAGTCTGGCTTTTTTATGGCTGTTTTGGAGCAGTGGTTTCTTCCTTGCTGAGCGGCCTTTCAGGTTATGTCGATACAGGACTCATTTTACTGTGGATGGATTTCCTCCAGCATCTTCACAAGGTCCTTTGCTGTTGTTCTGGGATTTATTTGCACTTTTCGCACCAAAGTACGTTAATCTCTAGGAGACAGATCGCGTCTCCTTCCTGAGCGGTATGACGGCTGCGTGGTCCCATGGTGTTTATACTTGCGTACTATTGTTTGTACAGATGAACGTGGTACCTTCAGGCGTTTGGAAATTGCTCCCAAGGATGAACCAGACTTGTGGAGGTCTACAATTATTCTTCTTCTGATGTCTTGGCTGATTTCTTTTGATTTTCCCATGATGTCAAGCAAAGAGGCACTGAGTTTGAAAGTAGGCCTTGAAATACATCTACAGGTACACCTACAATTGACTCAAATGATGTCAATTAGCCTATCAGAAGCTTCTAAAGCCATGACATCATTTTCTGGAATTTTCCAAGCTGTTTAAAGGCACAGTCAACTTAGTGTATGTAAACTTCTGACCCACTGGAATTGTGATACAGTGAATTATAAGTGAAATAATCTGTCTGTAAACTATTTTTGGAAAAATACTTGTGATATCCTAACCGACTTGCCAAAATTATAGTTTGTTAACAAGAAATTTGTGGAGTGGTAGAAAAACGAGTTTTAATGACTCCAACCTAAGTGTATGTAAACTTCCAACTTCAACTGTATATACAGTGGGGGAAAAAAGTATTTAGTCAGCCACCAATTGTGCAAGTTCTCCCACTTAAAAAGATGAGAGAGGCCTGTCATTTTCATCATAGGTACACGTCAACTATGACAGACAAAATGAGAATATTTTTTTCCAGAAAATCACATTGTAGGATTTGTAATGAATTTATTTGCAAATTATGGTGGAAAATAAGTATTTGGTCAATAACAAAAGTTTCTCAATAATTTGTTATATACCCTTTGTTGGCAATGACACAGGTCAAACGTTTTCTGTAAGTCTTCACAAGGTTTTCACACACTGTTGCTGGTATTTTGGCCCATTCCTCCATGCAGATCTCCTCTAGAGCAGTGATGTTTTGGGGCTGTCGCTGGGCAACACAGACTTTCAACTCCCTCCAAAGATTTTCTATGGGGTTGAGATCTGGAGACTGGCTAGGCCACTCCAGGACCTTGAAATGCTTCTTACGAAGCCACTCCTTAGTTGCCCGGGCGGTGTGTTTGGGATCATTGTCATGCTGAAAGACCCAGCCACGTTTCATCTTCAATGCCCTTGCTGATGGAAGGAGGTTTTCACTCAAAATCTCACGATACATGGCCCCATTCATTCTTTCCTTTACACGGATCAGTTGTCCTGGTCCCTTTGCAGAAAAACAGCCCCAAAGCATGATGTTTCCACCCCCATGCTTCACAGTAGGTATGGTGTTCTTTGGATGCAACTCAGCATTCTTTGTCCTCCAAACACGACGAGTTGAGTTTTTACCAAAAAGTTATATTTTGGTTTCATATGACCATATGACATTCTCCCAATCCTCTTCTGGATCCTCCAAATGCACTCTAGCAAACTTCAGACGGGCCTGGACATGTACTGGCTTAAGCAGGGGGACACGTCTGGCACTGCAGGATTTGAGTCCCTGGCGGCGTAGTGTGTTACTGATGGTAGGCTTTGTTACTTTGGTCCCAGCTCTCTGCAGGTCATTCACTAGGTCCCCCCGTGTGGTTCTGAGATTTTTGCTCACCGTTCTTGTGATCATTTTGACCCCACGGGGTGAGATCTTGCGTGGAGCCCCAGATCTAGGGAGATTATCAGTGGTCTTGTATGTCTTCCATTTCCTAATAATTGCTCCCACAGCTGATTTCTTCAAACCAAGCTGCTTACCTATTGCAGATTCAGTCTTCCCAGCCTGGTGCAGGTCTACAATTTTGTTTCTGGCGTCCTTTGACAGCTGTTTGGTCTTGGCCATAGTGGAGTTTGGAGTGTGACTGTTTGAGGTTGTGGATAGGTGTCTTTTATACTGATAACAAGTTCAAACAGGTGCCATTAATACAGGTAACGAGTGGAGGACAGAGGAGCCTCTTAAAGAAGAAGTTACAGGTCTGTGAGAGCCAGAAATCTTGCTTGTTTGTAGGTGACCAAATACTTATTTTCCACCATAATTTGCAAATAAATTCATTCAAAATCCTACAATGTGATTTTCTGGATTTTTTTTCATGAATGTGTCTGTCATAGTTGACGTGTACCTATGATGAAAATTACAGGCCTCTCTCATCTTTTTAAGTGGGAGAACTTGCACAATTGGTGGCTGACTAAATACTTTTTTTCCCAACTGTACACTGCTAAAAAAAATATAGGTAACACTTAAACAACACAATGTAACTCCAAGTCAATCACACTTCTGTGAAATCAAACTGTCCACTTAGGAAGCAACACTGATTGACAATAAATGTCACATGCTGTTGTGCAAATGGAATAGACAACAGGTGGAAATTATAAGCAATTAGCAAGACACTCCCAATAAAGGACTGGTTTTGCAGGTGGTGACCACAGACCACTTCTCAGTTCCTATGCTTCCTGGCTGATGTTTTGGTCACTTTTGAATGCTGGTGGTGCTTTCACTCTAGTGGTAGCATGAGACGGAGTCTACAACCAACACAAGTGGCTCAGGTAGTGCAGCTCATCCAGGATGGCACATCAATGCGAGCTGTGGCAAGAAGGTTTGCTGTGTCTGTCAGCGTAGTGTCCAGAGCATGGAGGCGCTACCAGGGGACAGGCCAGTACATAAGGAGACGTGGAGGAGGCCGTAGGAGGGCAACAACCCAGCAGCAGGACCGCTACCTCCGCCTTTGTGCAAGGAGGAGCAGGAGGAGCACTGCCAGAGCCCTGCAAAATGACCTCCAGCAGGCCACAAATGTGCATGTGTCTGCTCAAACGGTCAGAAACAGACTACATGAGGGTGGTATGAGGGCCCGACGTCCACAGGTGGGGGTAGTTTTACAGCCCAACACCGTGCAGGACGTTTGGCATTTGCCAGAGAACACCAAGATTGGCAAATTCGCCACTGGCGCCCTGTGCTCTTCACAGATGAAAGCAGGTTCACACTGAGCACGTGACAGACGTGACAGAGTCTGGAGACGCCGTGGAGAACGTTCTGCTGCCTGCAACATCCTCCAGCATGACCGGTTTGGCGGTGGGTCAGTCATGGTGTGGGGTGGCATTTCTTTGGGGGGGCCGCACAGCCCTCCATGTGCTCGCCAGAGGTAGCCTGACTGCCATTAGGTACCGAGATGAGATCCTCAGACCCCTTGTGAGACCATATGATGGTGCGGTTGGCCCTGGGTTCCTCCTAATGCAAGACAATGCTAGACCTCATGTGGCTGGAGTGTGTCAGCAGTTCCTGCAAGAGAAAGGCATTGATGCTATGGACTGGCCCGCCCGTTCCCCAGACCTGAATCCAATTGAGCACATCTGGGACATCATGTCTCGCTCCATCCACCAATGCCACGTTGCACCACAAACTGTCCAGGAGTTGGCGGATGCTTTAGTCCAGGTCTGGGAGGAGATCCCTCAGGAGACCATCCGCCACCTCATCAGGAGCATGCCCAGGCGTTGTAGGGAGGTCATACAGGCACATGGAGGCCACACACACTACTGAGCCTCATTTTGACTTGTTTTAAGGACATTACATCAAAGTTGGATCAGCCTGTAGTGTGGTTTTCCACTTTAATTTTGAGGGTGACTCCAAATCCAGTCCAATCTTGAAGGAGTTCCCACATATGCTGAGCACTTGTTGGAACTCCTTCACTCTGCTGTCCGACTCATCCCAAACCATCCCAACTGGGTTGAGGTCGGGGGATTGTGAAGGCCAGGTCATCTGATGCAGCACTCCATCACTCTCCTTCTTGGTAAAATAGCCCTTACACAGGCTGGAGGTGTGTTGGGTCATTGTCCTGTTGAGAAACAAATTATAGTCCCACTAAGCCCAAACCAGATGGGATGGCGTATCGCTGCAGAATTCTGTGGTAGCCATGCTGGTTAAGTGTTAAATTGAATTCTAAATAAATCAAAGGCAGTGTTACCAGCAAAGCACCCCCACACCATAACACCTCCTCCTCCATGCTTTACGGTGGGAATTATACATGCGGAGATCATCCGTTCACCAACACCACGTATCAAAAAGACACGGCGGTTGGAACCAAAAATGTCAAATTTGGACTCCAGACCAAAGGACAAATTTCCACCGTTCTAATGTCCATTGCTCGTGTTTCTTGGCCCAAGCAGGTCTCTTCTTCTTATTGGTGTCCTTTAGTAGTGGTTTCTTTGCAGCAATTCAACCATGAAGGCCTAATTCACACAGTCCCCTCTGAACAGTTGATGTTGAGCTGTGTCTGTGACTTGAACTCTGTGAAGCATTTATTTGGGCTGCAATTTCTGAGGCTGGTAACTCTAATGAACTTATCCTCTGCAGCAGAGGTAACTCTGGGTCTTCCTTTCCTGTGGCGGTCCTCATGAGAGCCAGTTTCATCATAGCGCTTGATGGCATTTGCGACTGCACTTAAAGACATTTTCAAAGTTCTTGAAATGTTCGGTATTGACTGACCTTCATGTCTTAAAGTAATGATGGACTGTTATTTGTCTTTGCTTATTTGAGCTGTTCTTGGCATAATATGGACTTGGTCTTTTACCAAATAGGGCTACCTTGTCACAACAAAACTGATTGCCTCAAATGCATTAAGAAGGAAAGAAATTCCACAAATTAACTTTTAAGAAGGCACAACTGTTAATTGAAATGCATTCCAGGTGACTACCTCATGAAGCTGGTTGAGAGAATGCCAAGAGTGTGCAAAGCTGTCATCAAGGCAAAGGGTGGATGTTTGAAGAATCTCAAATATAAAATATATTTTGATTTGTTTAACACTTTTTTGGTTACTACATGATTCCATATGTGTTATTTTATAGTTTTCATGTCTTCACTATTATTCTACAATGTTAAAAATTATTTAAAAAATAAAGAAAAACCCTTGAATGAGTAGGTGTGTCAAAACTTTTGACTGGTATATACTGTATATATATATTTGTATCATTATTAATTTTCAGGGGGTGCTGTAGCACCCTCAGCACCCCTACTTCCTGCGGCTATGATTCCAGGTCACAATAAATTAACAAATGACATTGAAACAACGTTGAATTAATCAGTTTGTGCCCAGTGGGATATTCAGCTTTCCTGTCCATCCTATTGTCATAAACTCACCCAGTTTTGAGCCGTCATCGGCCTTGTCCTCCATTTCAGCAGTCAGGTCATTCAGCTCTTTCTGTAGCACTGTGCAAAAGATGCACAACAGAGTTACAGATGTAGTTGAATAATGTATGTCTCATAGGTAGTTTTACACTCAAATAATCAAAGTATTTCTCTAAAATGACCTTGTAATCAATGAAATGCTTCTTTCACTCACCTGCAATCTGGTCAATGTTGCTCTGAGTAGCCACTCCTTTCTGGAACTCCCATATCAGATTCTGCACCTCAATTATTCTCAGAACTGAAAAAGGACAACAACATTTTAAACAACCTGACTCGATCGAATTAACCTAAAATGTCGAATTTGTCGAATTTGTAATTCAACAGTGTATTCTTTATTATAATTGCATTGCATTACATGTGATCTCTCAGGATGGGTTAAATCAGTGGAAAACTCACTCCTTTGTCCGTTGGAACTTTTTTCCTGCAGTTCGTTGCTCTTCGTTTTTAATTCTCGGTTCTTCTGCTCCAGTTGCTTCTGCAGCTCTGAGAGACAGACACAGTTAAAATATAACAAATTAAACCATGTCAGTTTTTCTTTACAGAACAACCCTTCTGCAGAGCATGGAATAATGAGGGGAAAGCACTGGCAGTGACACTCACCATCGATCTTGCCAGCTGCCTCTGGAGACATGATTTGAGTCCTCAGCCACTTCACTTCATCATTCAGAGCCACAATACTTAGAACTGTTAGAACCAAAAGGATATACTATTACTGTACAGTAAGCTACTGTCAACTGTTCTCTATGTAGAAAACACATTGTACATATTGTATATTAGAAGAAACTGTCCAACTGGCCTCACTCACCCAGTTTGGAGTTGCCTGAATTTTGACTGTTAAGTAAGTTTATCTTGTCCTCTAATTCACCCTTCACCCCTGTGAGAGGCAAACACAAAACAGGCAAAGGATCATAAAGGGAGTTTCAACATCTCAGAATGTCATCACAATGTATGAGAACTAGTTTATTTTAAATGTTAAATGTTGAGGACATGGTAAATGAAACATATTTCCAGGTAGAATGTTATGGCTTTAGTGATAGGAAGAAGACATAGTCTCACGGTCATATTTGTTCTCGAGACTGAAACACGTTGCATTATTCTCCTTCAGCTGTTTCTGCAGGTCTGTTTTAAAAGGAAGGAGCGTAATCTTTCAGACATTCTTGTCAAATGAACACAACAATCAAATAAAATATGAAATGTAGAACACTGTGGGTTTTACATGTAAAGTAACGATTAGAGCAGCCTAGCGTTCTAGGCCTGTCATTAAACATGGCTGGTGGTAAACAAGACAGGAACAGAGGATGTGGTCTTTACCTTTGTTTTCAGCCTGAACTCTGGTAATCTCATCCTCTTTGTCCTGAACTTGTTGCAGAAGTGCTAGAGTTCAAACAGTTCATTTTGATAGATATTAGAGCATCATACTACACACAAACCAATGAGGTTGCATTCACAGGAGGGTGCATTACATTTTACATTTTACATTTTAGTAATTTAGCAGACGCTCCTATCCAGAGCGACTTACAGTTAGTGAGTGCATACATTTTTCATTCACAGGAGGGTGCATTCACAGGAACATTGGAGATAATGACAATAAAGATCTCACCAGTGATCTGGGAGGATGTTGTCTGCATCTCCTGTGTGGTTTGTATCTGTAAGTCTCTCTGCTCCCTCATTATAGAAATTATCTTCATAACTGGACAGAGAGAAAGAAAATGAGAAAAGTAACAGGCTGGGATTATTTTAGTCTGTATCCCTTCTTCAAATCAAATTTCATAAATTGTTCTAAATAACTATTGTATTATCTGGATAGTTTGATATGATCACAAATATCACATTTTGATGCTTCACTCACTCAGCTGCATGCTAGCCTCATCCTCCCCCTTCAGTTGTTCCTTCCAGGCTTCTTGTTGTTTTTCCTTGTTGTTCAAATTCTTCTGCAGCTCTAAAAAGAAAAACACACAATGCTTTTGACATTCTTCCAATCATGCAACATTTAGTGCAAAAGAGTTCACAGTCAGTGGTGAAACCATGAACAATTACAAGTAAGATTGGCATGTACCTGCATGTTGGGCATCGGTCTTCTTTTGTAGGTTTGATATTTGTATGTATAGGTTATTTATTGCATTCTGCAACGCCAGAATCTCCTCAGCTGAAATAATCAATAACAGAGCAGTTTGTAGGACATGCAGAGACACTAGATCGTACTGCAGCATATCTCATTGTGTAGAGAGACTTGTCCACTTACTTAGTTCAGTGTTAGTGTTGTTGTCAGGCAGTTGTAATATCTTGTTTATAAGTTGCTGGTTCATCTCCTTCAGTTGCCTCTGTAGATCTAATTTATAAAAGCAATTTAGCTTGTTCGGGGGGGGGGGGGGGGGGGGGGGGGGTAATTCTGTCTATAAAATAACTATTTAGTCACCTGTCATTTTAGTTTTGGATTCCTCTGTGAGCTCTGAGATCCTTCTCTGTAGCTCTGTAACCTCACTCTCCAATGTGATCATCATCACCACTGAAAAGCCAAGAGAGACAACTTGGCTATGTATTCTGGAAGACATTCTCCAATGATATTCTCAGTATGTGTGCTATCTTGTGTGAGTAGGTGTCTGTTTGCCGTGCAAATGTTTATTTTCAGGTGAATCAGTTTCAGTAATCCAACCCAAACAAACTGACCTATTTTGGAGTCATCACTCCCTTTGGAGTTGCCCTCTAGTTCATTGATTTTGGCCTCCAGTTGTCTCTGTAGAACTGGACACAACAATAGTACAATTATTGATAAATACAACATTTGCAGGCACCAGGCTTTTGGAAAAGGAAGAAGGAAAGTATTCTATGGTAAAGGGATGCAGTGTATTGGAAAAATACAAAACTGAACATTTATAACATTTATAAATCTTGAGTAGTTTAGATTATACTGTACCAGTGATTTGGGTTAAAGTCTCCTGACTGTGTTTTGTTTTCTCTACCTCCCAGATCTGGGTCTGCAGTTCAATGATCTCAAGAACTAAAAAATAACAAACATCATTGTCACGTGAAATTACACATGCATGCTTAAAAAGTACAAAACTGAAGATAACTGCATTTTGCTATCCTGCATTTTTTGTGAGAAACTGGACTGAAAATGATTCCATGATTCTGAACCATTCACCACTACTGAACAGTAACATGAACACTGAAATAACAGGTTTCTTCTCTTACTACGTTGAGCGCTGCGACTGTTCTTTTCAAGTTGTTCTGTTTTAAACTGCAATTGTTTGTTCTTTTCCTCCAGCTGGCTCAGTAGGTCTAAAAGACAAATAAACATCCTTCATAAAGAACCAGTAAGGTAGTTGTTAACATTGTTATTTTAACACAGTTTAGAACAGTACAAAAATCATTACCTTGATTTGATAGACCACATTGAAATTGGCTTTTTTTTCACTAGGTTTCATAGCACTTTAGATTATGTGGGGATAACTCACTGCAGCAAATTATACATTGTAACAAATGTTGAACAGAGTGGAGTTGAAGAGTGTCTATGTAATTTTTGGAAACATGGTTATGGTCATGGAGAGAAGGTATAATAAACAACATTCTTACCAGTGATCTTGGTGGAAGTTGAGGTGTTTGTGTCCTTCTTCTGTAGTTCGTTCACTTCATAGGTAAGAGCTGTGATCCTCAGAACTGTAATGAGAAAAATAAGAAAATTAAATAAATATGAGTGACAGGGTTTCTACCTGTAATCTATCATTTATGGCAATACCAATCAAGTCAGCTCCACTCACCCAGGTTTCCATTGTCATTCGACATCTGTTCCAGTAGACTCATCTTATCCTCCAACTGAGCTTGCAGTTCTGTTAGATATATTATATTGTTTCAAGCATTACCCGTATTTTACCATAGTACAGTTGTTCTATAAGAAGTTGTTTGACATATCCCCCCTTATGATTAAAATATAAGAGTTGTAGTGGTGAGGTAATACTTACTGGCAATTTGATTTGATGTTTCCAGACCGCAGGATGTCGACTTCAGTCTCAACTGTCTCACTGTGAACTTCAGTCTAAACACTTCCTGTTCTAAAAGGAATAATAAAGAGTTTTAGAGACATTTAATTGGTTGCCACACTGGACATTGAATATTTGGTCTTAGATGCTGAGTTAAATTAAAGACTATTGGTCGCATACACAGTTTTGCAGATATTATCGCAGATGCAGCGAAATCATGGCTGGCTCTAGCCTTTTGGGGGCCCTAAGTGGACCCCCCTTGACGGCAGAGATAAAACATATTTGCGTTTTAAAGTTAATTACCTGCAATTCTACACATTTTGCCATGACATCTTTATGCCATGTTAATGATATCTGAGTGAGAGTGACAAAAAAAATCAATGGGGGCCCTCTGAAGGTCAGGACCTCTGGGCACGTGCCCAGCATGCCCGGTCGGTATTCGGCCATGATCACTACAAGTTTAGATAGCTGGCTAGACTAACTTATAAATCTAAAAATTGTTAGCTGACATGGGTAATTGAGTGACTGTCAGTGATTGACATTACAAGTAAATTGAGACCCTGACTAGTTGCTAAACATTTTTTAATAAATGTTTTTTGGGGTCGCTTATGTCGCTTATGCCTCAGCGAAATGCTTAAGTTTCTAGCTCCAACAATGCAGCAATATCAAGCAATACAATAACAATACACAACTAAGACATATTAGAACGAGCAATGTCAGAGTCCGAAATAATAATACTAGAAACGTTCTGAGCAAATAATGTAAGTAATAATACCAAAAAATACAAAATACTGCAAAGTTGGCTAGGAGCTAGAAAAAGGGTGACCGCGCTGTCAGCGACATGTATGACCAGCAGCAATACAACAGCTCACCCAGTTGAATGGTGTGGCTGGTTTTCTCCTGCAATTGTCTGTCTGTGTGCTCCAGTTGCTCTTTCAGACCTGAGAACACAGTTGTGTTAAAATAACATAGGTTCAATATAATCATTTGTCACATCACAGCATCTTATGATACAAGTATAAAAATAGATTTTACATGAAGAAGTGTTTGCAAAAGCAAGGTACTCACCCTCACAGCTGTTCACAACAGTGCACTGTAAAGAAAAATGTAAGTTGACTCAACATTTAAAAAAAATTAAGGCAACCAGCTGCCACACCATTTCTAGTTTGCTCAACTTTGGGGCAGGAATGTTTTACTAACATACAGGTAACTGCCAAAATAAAGGAAACACCAACATAAAGTGTCTTAATAGGGCGTTGGGCCACCACGAGCCAGAGCAGCTTCCATAATTTTGTGTTTTGTTGACGGTGGTGGAAAATGCTGTCTCAGGCGCCGCTCCAGAATCTCCCATAAGTGTTCAGTTGGATTGAGCTCTGGTGACTAAGATGGCCATGGCATATGGTTTACATTGTTTTCATGTTCATCAAACCATTCAGTGACCACTCATTCCCTGTGGATGGGGGCATTGTCATCCTATGGGGGCATTGCCATGGAAGCCAAAATAATCGCCTGCCCAGCAGGGGGGGCTGAATTTTTTATTGCGCTACAGAAGGCTATATCGGTCTGCTAATACAGGACTAGTAAAGGCCCAGTGCATTACTTTTGTGAAAAAATAATTTTGCCCGCACTGCAGACGACTATATCAGTCCGCTAAATACAGGACTGGTAAAGGCCCAGTGCACTACTTTAGTGGAGAAAAAAATTGTTTCAAAAATACATATTGTTTTTATTAATCTTTTGTTTTTATTCTGATTTTTCAGGGGGTGCTGCAGCACCCTCAGCACCCCTACTTCCTGCGGCTATGGTTACCGGTACATTCCTGAGTTAGGAAAATGTGTTGTTTAAATGTGTTGTTTAACTTAAATATGAAAATGTATCATCAGCTGAACTATACATTTTAAGTTGGATGAACTATAATATCAACTTTTGCTCAACTCTGTAAATTATTTTGATATTGACATGAATGTTGTAAAGTTGTTCTTTTGTTTGAGTATATGAATGTTTGACTCCTTTCTAGTTTCATTCATGATCCAATTAATGAACCAGACAGGTTCTTTTAAATATACGTCCTTGACTAACCACAGACCATATAAACAGGTACAACAATCTCACTAATGGGGAGAACAAATCCACTTGCTTTTTTGCTATATCTGTTGTAATGCATCAGATTATAAACTAAAATACAACTTGCCGAAGACATGTATTTTAAGCCAACACAGTATTTTAAGTAAAACTCGTTGTGTAATCAACTTAGTTATTTGTGTTGCAAAGGCAAAGTTCGTAAAGTTCTTACCTGACCAAGGGAGCCATTTGGTAGAGTGATCTGAAGGTATGAAAAATAAGAGGAAAAACAGAACATTATTCTAACACCCAAATTCTAAACTAATCACATTTGAACAGTATTATCCACCAAGTGGAAACCAGACAAAACTGTATGGACAAACAACTGTCATATGCTACAAGAGAGGGACCAAGCATGGTTAAAAAATATTTGTGTATTTTGGAGGCAGAATGCATAAGGCTCTTATGTAACAGTGTTGCTTCCTTCCCTCTCCTCGCCCCAACCTGGGCTTGAACCAGGGACCTCCTGAAAACATTAACAACTGCCTTCTCATGTGGTATCGTTACCTATCGCTCCAAAAAAACAAACAAAAATCAAGGTCTCAGTGCGAATGACATCACCAATTGAAATATTACTAGTGTGCACCGTTAACTTGCTAGCCATTTCACACCGATTACACTTACATTGTGCTTCCGGAGGATTGCGTCTACATCTATTACATGACTTCCTGGCCCCTGTAAGACCACAGTGGGATCTACATTCTTTAAGTCTCTCTGGGTGCGAGGTTGCAAAGCATGGCCACCTTCATGAGGGACTGACAAACAAAACACATTAGTGTTCAATGACTGTCCATAACCATTTAAACGACACATAGAAATTGATATATTGTATTATATTGCTATTATCCAGTAGTACAATATCTCTCTATGCTGTGAAAAAACCCTGACGCAATACATTTTCAAACTCAGATGTGTCTCACCATGTCTACTTAAAGAATCCTGAAGGAGACAGGGGAGAAGGAGGCCAATTAAAGTTGTCTGTATTCTTGCCATCATTCTGTCAGACAGACTTGTGCTTGTCCCACAGTCGTCTAGCTTTTATAAAGCTGGCTGCTCCCAATGTTTGTTAAAGTTTCTCAATACTCTTCTAAAGACCTCCCCCGGGGGGGGGGGGGGGGGGGGGGGGGGTGTAATTTCTACCTATTTCCAAATCAAGAAAGCAGAGAACTTGACAACCAGCCTAGAATCGAGCAAATAGTCTTATCAGCAAATAGTCTTGTTGACGGGAAACAGGAATCTATTCAAAGTTCATAGAACTGATATGTTCTATTAACCAACCAATGGGTAGCGGTCTGGAAGCGTCCACACATTCCTCTGGACAAGGGCCATGGATGTACAGTAAATTAAGGACTTTATCATTTATGGGAAGGGGCACTGCTGGCACTGGACGATTATGGACAAACAATCACGGTTTATTAATTGTATACTGAACAAAAGTAGAAACACAACATGTCAAGTGTTGGTCCCATGTTTCATGAGCTGAACTAAAAGATCCCAGAAAGCTTATTTCTCTCAAATGTTGTGTACAAATTGGTTTATATCTCTGTCAGTGAGAATTTCTCCATTGCTAAGACAATCCATCCACCTGACAGGTGTGGCATATCAAGAAGCTGATTAAACAGCATTGCATAGGTGCACCTTGTGCTGGGGACAATAAAAGGCCACTCTAAAATTTGCAGTTTTGTCACATAGCACATTGCCACAGATGTCTCAAGTTTTGAGGGAGTGTGCAATTGGCATGCTGAATGCAGGAATGTCCACCAGAGCTGTTCCCAGAGAATGTAATGTACATTTCTCTACCATAACGTCGTTTTAGAGAATTCTGCAGTACGTTAAACTGTTCTCATAACCGCAGACCACGTGTATGGCGTCGTGTGGGCGAGCGGTTTGCTGATGTCAACATTGTGAACAGAGTGCCCTATGGTGGCAGTGGGGTCATGGTATGGGCAGGCATAAGCTACGGACAACGAACACAATTGCATTTTATCTATGGCAATTTTCAAATGAGGCCCATTGTCGTGCCATTCATCCGCCGCCATCACCTCATGTTTCATCATAATAATGCACGGCCCCATGTCGCAAGGATCTGTACACAATTCCTGGAAGCTGAAAATGTCCCAGTTCTTCCATGGCCTGCATACTCACCAGACATGTCACCGATTGAGCGTGTTTGGGATGCTCTGGATCGATGTTGTATAACAGCGTGTTCCAGTTCCCGCCAATATCCAGCAACTTTGCACAGCCATTGAAGAGGATTGCTCACAATCAACAGACTGATCAACTCTATGCGAAGGAGATGTGTTGCGCTGCATGAGCCAAATGGTGGTCACACCAGAAACTGACTGGTTTTCTGATCCATGCCCCTACCTTTTTTTTAAGGTATCTGTGACCAACAGATACAGTGGGGAGAACAAGTATTTGATACACTGCCGATTTAGCAGGTTTTCCTACTTATAAAGCATGTAGAGGTCTGTCATTTTTATCATAGGTACACTTCAACTGTCAGAGACGGAATCTAAAACAAAAATCCAGAAAATCACATTGTATGATTTTTAAGTAATTAATTTGCATTTTAATGCATGACATACAGTGAGGAAAAAAAGTATTTGATCCCCTGCTGATTTTGTATTTGCCCACTGACAAAGAAATTATCTGTCACGTTGTACTTGTGGAGGTGGTGGTGAAGTCAGGCGCAGGACACAGCGGATAAGTCAAACAGCTTTACTTGACTGAATACACAAATACAGAAAATAAATGGCCTCAAAACACAGGAGGCAAAAACCTACGCGCAACGCGTAAAACACTAAAGCACAACATAAACCAACAGACAAACGACAGGCAGACAACAACACACAACTCCAAAACATAACACAGGGAAACTTATAAGTGACATAATCAGGACAGAATACGAAACAGGTGCACTAAACTAGACATGACCAAACGAACATCGAAAAACATCGAACGGTGGCAGCTAGTACTCCGGGGACGACGAACGCCGAAGCCTGCCCGAACAAGGAGGAGGAGCAGCCTCGGTGGTATTCGTGACAGTACCCCCCCGTTGACGCGCGGCTCCAGCCGTGCGCCGACCCCGGTGGAACTCCGACCCAGGTGGAACTCCGTCAGGAGGGAGGGATCTAAGATATCCCTCCTAGGCACCCAGCACCGTTCCTCCGGACCGTACCCCTCCCACTCCACGAGATATTGTAGACCCCCCATCCGACGTCTCGAATCCACGATGGACCTGACTGAGTACGCCGGAGCCCCCTCGATGTCCAGTGGGGGCGGAAGAGTCTCTCTTATCTCACAGTCCTGGAGTGGACCAGCTACCACCGGCCTGAGGAGAGACACATGGAACGAGGGGTTAATGCGATAATCATTAGGCAGTTGTAACTTGTAGCATACCTCGTTCAATCTCCTCAGGATTTTAAATGGCCCCACAAACCGCCGACCCAGCTTCCGGCAGGGCAGGCGAAGGGGCAGGTTTCGAGTCGAGAGCCAGACTCGATCTCCAGGTGCGTACACTGGACCCTCACTGCGGTGGAGATTGGCGCTCGCCTTCTGTCTACGGATAGCCCGCTGCAGATGGACGTGTGCAGCGTTCCACATCTACTCCGAGCGCCGAAACCACTCATCCACCGCAGGAGCCTCGATCTGGCTCTGATGCCATGGTGCCAGAACCGGCTGATACCCTAACACACATTGGAAAGGGGTCAGGTTAGTAGAGGAGTGGCGAAGAGAGTTCTGGGCAATCTCTGCCCAAGGGATATAACCCGACCACTCCTCCTGCCGGTCCTGGCAATACGATCTCAGAAACCTGCCCACATCCTGGTTCACTCTCTCCACCTGCCCATTACTCTCAGGGTGAAAACCCGAGGTAAGGCTAACCGAGACCCCCAACCGTTCCATGAACGCCCTCCAGACTCTAGAGGTGAATTGGGGACCTCGATCTGACACTATATCCTCGGGAACCCCGTAGTGCCGGAAGACGTGGGTAAACAAAGCCTCTGCGGTCTGTAGGGCAGTAGGGAGACCCGGCATTGGGATGAGACGACAGGCCTTAGAGAACCGATCCACAATGACCAGAATGGTGGTATTCCCCTGGGAGGGAGGTAGGTCAGTGACAAAGTCTACCGAGAGGTGAGACCACGGCTGTTGTGGAACGGGCAGGGGCTGTAACTTCCCCCTGGGCAGGTGTCTAGGCGCCTTACACTGGGCGCACACTGAGCAGGAGGAGACATAAACCCTCACGTCCCTAGCCAATGTTGGCCACCAGTACTTTACACTAAGGCAGTGCACTGTCCGGCCAATACCTGGATGTCCAGAGGAGGGCGACGTGTGAGCCCAATATATCAGACGATCACGGATCTCGAGCGGCACGTACGTCCGCCCCACTGGACACTCCGGAGGAGTAGGGTCGGTGCGTAACGCCCGCTCGATTTCCGCATCGATCTCCCACACCACCGGTGCCACCAGACAAGACTCCGGCAGTATGGGTGTGGGCTCAATGGACCTCTCCTCTGTGTCATGCCGCCGGGACAGTGCGTCTGCCTTACCGTTCTGGGACCCTGGGATGTACGTAAGCTTAAAGACAAACCGGGTCAGAAACATGTTCCACCTAGCCTGACGAGGGTTCAGTCTCCTAGCTGCCCGGATGTACTCCAGGTTACGATGGTCAGTCAGAATGAGAAAAGGGTGTTGAGCCCCCTCAAGCCAATGCCTCCACACCTTTAGGGCCTGAACTACGGCTAGCAGCTCCCTGTCCCCTACGTCATAATTTCGTTCCGCCGGGCTGAGCTTTTTTGAATAAAAAGCGCAGGGCCGGAGTTTAGGAGGCGTGCCTGAGCGTTGAGACAATACTGCCCCAATACCGGCCTCTGACGCGTCCACCTCCACTTGGAACGCTAAAGCGGGGTCCAAATGCGCCAGCACCGGAGCCGAGGTGAACAGGTTCTTCAGTTTATTAAACGCCCTGTCTGCCTCAGCCGACCACTGCAAACGCACCGGGCCCCCCTTCAGCAGGGACGTGATGGGAAATGCCACCTGTCCAAAACCCCGGATAAACCTCCGGTAGTAATTGGCAAAACCCCAAAACCGTTGCACCTCTTTAACAGTGGTTGGAGTCTGCCAATTACGCACGGCTGACACACGGTCAACCTCCATCTCCACCCCTGACGCGGACAACCGATAACCCAAAAAGGAGATGGACTGGAAAAACAGACATTTCTCTGCCTTGGCATACAAGTCATGCTCCAACAGCCTACCCAACACTCGGCGTACCAGGGCTACATGCTCGGCTCGTGTAGATGAGTACACTAGAATGTCGTCAATGTACACGAACACACCCTGCCCATGCAAGTCCCGGAAGATCTCGTCCACAAAGGATTGGAAGACTGAAGGAGCATTCATTAACCCATATGGCATGACGAGATACTCATAATGACCCGAGGTGGTACTAAATGCTGTCTTCCATTCATCTCCCTCCCTAATGCGCACCAAGTTGTAAGCGCTCCTGAGATCCAGTTTTGTGAAGAAACGCGCTCCGCGTAATGATTTCGTCATACTCGCAATCAGAGGCAGAGGATAACGGTATTTAACTGTGATCTGATTGAGAATACGGTAATCAATACACGGGCGCAAACCTCCATCCTTTTTCTTCACAAAAAAGAAACTCGAGGACACAGGGGAAGTGGAGGACCGTATGTATCCCTGTCTCAGAGACTCGGCTATGTATGTCTCCATAGCCACCGTCTCCTCTTGAGACAAGGGATACACATGGCTCCGCGGAAGTGCCGCACCTGCCAGGAGATCTATCGCACAATCTCCCCGTCTATGAGGTGGCAAACGCGTCGCCCTAGTCTTACTGAACACGAGTGCCAAATCCTCATACTCGGGGGGAATGTGCATTGCGGGCACTTGGTTCGGACTCTCCACCGTGGTCGCCCCTACGGAAACACCTAAACATCGCCCGACACACTGGTTAGACCACTCCTTGAGAGCCCTC